GGAAGATTGCGGATAACTGCACAAGGGTAGAAGAGAGAGCTCCCCTATTGTCGAGCGAACTAGTCGAAACAAAATAATCAGCGGCATTCCACCAAACATGAACCGCGAGAACTGCCCCGAGACAACCGTCCCGGGACGGCCACCACGACCTGGGCTACGGATCGTCCACACAGCCCGTCCCAAAAATGCCCGATGCGTAATGATTAAGTGGTGCTAAACATCAATTTTATGCGCACAATTAAATACTTAATATACCATCCTCATTCGAGTCGTCTCTCCTCTGCTCGGCATGGACTCCCCACACCGTGCAAGTGCCACACGTAGCTGGGTTGACCACAATAGGAAAAAGATTGCAGCATCACACTTACTACTGACGCATCACACATCCATTGGAGTCGGCACAAAAAAGCGAAGCTCTAGAAGAGGTCAGTCACATCTGCGATGAAGCTGAAAGTAAACGAGAAAAAACTGTGGCCGGTGATGTAACATCAAGCGCACAAATCTCAAGACTCCTCGACCTACAAATGGCCTCATTTTCTCAGCTAGAATGTGCATGTAGTATGGCGCCTCGCGATTTCGCGAGGGTGCCCATCTCTCTAGCTTTATGCCCGTGAGGTGGCTAACTAACCACCCCAGCCCAGAGGGTCGCATCTCCACGGGGCAAATAGGGAGAGTGAAGTAGGCTCCTGATCTTCGTTTGTTCTCCTGAAGAGCCAAGAGATGACCCTTCAGCGCCCCCCGCTGGGCTCGCACGAAGCTCCCAGCCTGTCGGATATCAAAGATGGCGCTGGGGACGCCGTGCAACGGGTCGCGCAGGTCACGGTTCCCCAAACCGAGACCAAATGAACCCCTTTGCCTGGGGTCAGTTGTTGGCGGAGAGAGCTCCACAACGACGGACACCGAGCACCATCGGTGGAGGGGCAGAGGGAGAAGAGGGGCATCGCAGGGAGAACTCGCACACGTCATGTCGTCACGACGAATTGTAATCCATTTTAATCCGCATTAAATCGTTGAGTTTCAATTAATATTGCTTAAATCCGTTGACCAACCTTACCACGAATCCACTCCTAAAAGACTGTGTGTGGACTATTGTTCCTTGAAAGCCAAAACAGTGAAACGGGCATACCCAATGCCAAGAGTAGGCACAATACTCCAGAGTCGCAGGATCGCGCTACCTGTCTAAACTCGACGTCAAAAAAGCCTTTCTAAACATCCGCTTGCGCGAAGAGGACATCCAGAAAGTAGCATTCGAGACAGAAGATGGTCACTTCGAACCACTACGGATGCTATTTGGACTCTGCACAGCACCATCGACGATGCAAAGCGTGATGAACGAAGGCCTTCAAACACTAATCAACGACGGACATGTCATCGTGTACATGGACGATCTGCGTGTGTGTTCACAGACACAGTCGAGACGCACATCAAGATTCTGGACCAAGTCCTAAGGACCCTCCACGACCTTGGACTACGAGTCGACCTTAAGAAGTGCATGTTCGCAGGAAAGATGATTCCGTTTTTCGGATTCCTAGTCTCACGGGACGGAGTAGCTGTGGACCCTCAACGCACAGCAGCGATCTCCAACTACGGGATCCCACGATCGAAGACAGGCATTAGATCCTTTCTCGGACTCGTGTCGCACTACCGCAACTTTGTCAAGGATTTCACAAAAATCGCACAGCCATTAACCCAGCTAACGAAAAAAGATGCGTTGCTGACATGGACACGCTAAAACAACGACTCACCGAAGCACCAGTGCTAGCAAACTTTGATGCAAGCTTACCAACACAGGTGTATGTGGACGCCTCACGACACATTCGGAGAAGTACTAGTTCAAATGCACGGCAACTCTACTCGTGTCGTCGAATACGCGAGCAAGAAAGTAACTGACGCCGACAGCAGCAAGCACTCGACCGAGCTAGAAGCAATAGCGACTCACTCGCCCATTACGGATCGCTTTCACCCATACCTTCAAGGTCTGGAACACATCAAACTCTTCACGGACAACTGGGCCGTAGCCCACATCATGTCAAAAAAGAAGCCAAACCGAAGATTCCCACGAATCGTTCTCGATTTGGCACAGTATCACTTGACCGTGTGCCACACATCCAGAAAGACAAACACAGTGGCTGACGCTCTCTCACGCATGAGACCCGAGGTCAATGCCATTTGTGTACTGAAAGCCAACGATAATCGATTACGTGATGCACAAGACGAAGAGCCCGAGCTGGCAGCGATCATCGCAGAGCTCGAGACACCGGGGGACACGGTACACCGGAAATGCCTCGAGAGAAACTTCCAGCATGCCAACGGCATTTTGATGCATGTGACAAAGAACAAAACAACAAGACTCCAAACCGAAGTGCCAAGTCCCTGCGCAACGCTATCCTGAGGAGCCATCATGACGCTGGACATGGTGACGCACTTCGAAAGAAGTCTAAACTTGAACAACTGTACCATTGGAGCAACATAGACCGCGACATCACGCAGTATGTTCGAGGGTGCAAGATATGCCAACAACACAATCACGCGACAAGCGTGCAACCAGGCAGTCTTAATCCCAGGGTCATCCCCACGACACCGTTTGATTCTGTGGCCATCGATCACGTCGGACCAATCAACACCAATGACGAGAACAAGTACTTCATAACAGCTGTGGACCTCGCGACCAGGTTCATTGTGACACGCGCAGTGCCCGACAAATCTGCCGCACACATCCTCAAATTTATAGAGGAAGACATTGTGACGAAGTTCGGAACTCCACAGACTATCATCTCGGACAGCAATAGCACATACACGTCAAGAGCAGCAAACGAGTACCTCCAACAACGCAGTACCAAACACATCTCCACGGTACCATACACATCGGAGACGAACGGACTAGTCGAAAGAGCCAACAGCAGGATTCTCCCACCACTACGCAAGAATGTGAATGGAGACATGGATCACAGGAGCGACTATCTTCAAAAGGCAACCTTTGAAGTGAACACGCAGTTTCACACCAGACTGAAAACGTCACCGTTCGAACTCTTATTCAACTTTACGCCGCGAAGAGTCATCGACAACCAACTATCTATCGACCCAGACATTGAACAAGCGGACATAAATGCTCTCCGACAAGAGGCATTTAAGAACCTAACCGAATACCTTTAAGGCGTGAAGCGGACACACGACAGAAAACATCCGCCAGCCACCTGCGATATCGGAGAAAAAGTCTGGTATAGCAACGGCATCAGACAAGGAAAATTCGCACCTGTGTACGAAGGGCCGTACACGATCATTGACTCCGACAAACAAACGTACACCATATCCCGCAACCCTCAAAATCTAACAAATCCCGGACAGCAACCGCACGCCAACTGAAGCGCTTCCACGATCAACCCACGATCGATCCAGCTGACCAGGACGCTGCGAATGAGGATGCAGAAGCAACAGTCCGATCTAGCACCTCGGACGACAACGAGGACAGAGTGACCATGGCCGAGCCCAACGTTACTTTAGCCGAGACGGCATCGAACTTTCCAACAAGATCTTCACAGAGGCAGCGTAGACACCCCGCATGGCTCAAAGACTTTGTGACAGACTGCGAGGACGCAGTATTTTGAGTGCGGGCGTGTTGGCGGAGAGAGCTCCACAACAACTAAAGTTCCTGTATAGGCTCCCTACGGGAGCCAGAGTTGCGCATTTGTTTTCCCCGCGCCGCTACGCCGCTATTCGCCGAGATCCATCACGTGAGGAGCAAAGCATCCGATGGCGTGCAAGAAAGCCACCTTTACGGTCGCTCCGCCGACGTTTCTCTTGCCCCGGCGTATGTTTCCCTGCTTTCCGCCTCCTTTTCCTCCTCTCCTGTTTTCCATGCGCGGCACCGCTATTTGCCATATTTAGTCGCGTGAGGAGCAAAGCATCCAGCTCGTGCGGGAAAGCCGGCGCTACGGCCACGCGCCGAGGCTGAATGCGCAACTCTGCTACCGTAGGTAGCATATACAGGAACTCTAACAACAACGGACCCCGAGCGCCATCGGTGGAGGGGCAGAGGGAGAGAAGCATCGCGGGGAGAACTCGCGCAGTCATGTCGTCACGACGAATTGTAATCCATTTTAATCCGCATTAAATCGTTGAGTTTCAATTAATATCGCTTATTCTTGAGCTCATCCACGTCTAACACGGTGCACTCACCTATAGGCGTGCAGGCGAGGATCGGCGAAAACGCAAGCGACGCAAGTTAGAAATGACGCTTTTGGTTCCATGGTCCGTACTGTGTGGCTTACGTGCACGTGTCGACTCGATGCCCGGGCCGCGAGGTTCGTTTACACTAAAAGTCCGAGGTCGAAAATGCGCGCAGCCCTCCGATTACCTGTGCTCGGGGACAACTCTGCAGCAATGCCGTTGAGTGCCGATCAAGGCGTTGCACGTCCCCTCTGCACTTTTGAAATGCCCTACGGTAGGGCGTACGATGAAGCTGACACGCGGTTCCATAAACAGTATGGCAAACAATGGCAACCGTCACCGTGTCTGGTCACCGTGTCTGGTCACCGAGTCTGACGGATGCTGTACGGTCAGCGCTGCTAAGTACGGTCCGTGGCATTCGTCATTGGGACGTCGGGGCACCGCCGCACTGCTAGAAAATACACATGTGGTACCAGTGGTGGTACAGATAATCAACCAAACGACAAACCACTACGCCACCGCCTCAGGCCTTCAAACCGCGCTCCTGCGATTCCAAAAGACAAACACGCCAAAAACAATCTGAATGCACTTTTGTCTTGACTAGCGTTGACTAGAACAATATTGGCTAGAGTCATCTCGGCAGTGTAAATTTAAAGTTTTTTTTTCAGTTTGTACACAATTGTAATAACGTGCTTTTATTTAAATAAAATGAACAGCTAAAAACCAATTTTTTATGTTCAAACTATTTTTGGTAATCTTTTTAATAAAACAAAACAAAAAGAAGTACAGGCTACGAAACTGCGCCTCTGGTGGCCGCGGGTTGATCAGATTGATCCAACGGAGCTCCGTTTTTTAAAAGGGAATTCGAGGTGTGGCGTGGCTCTTTTCAGCCTTTGGTGCCTTTGGTTTATGGATGAAAAGGCATTAGCACGCATTAAACAAGAGGAGCAGCGTCGCCAAGGTCTCCGTTTGCAGCAGGTAAGGTGGCGACTCTCAGAAACACAACTGGTTCATAGGCAGAAGCGGACGTCGCATTTTCCCGCGTTCAATTACACCTCATCTTGTTCTTTCTATGCAAATCCTTCTGTAGGTCAATTGTATGCGAGATTGCCGAAAGCCGCTCCCTTAATGCCATACCATCGTACTCTGGAACTCACAAACAAAGTTCCTCTGGCGCTATCATCCTGCCTACTGTGCCGGCAGCCGGCAGAATAATTTTTCTGAAAAGTCTACCGGCAGTTGCACCCCATTGGCCCATCGACAGCTCAGATTAGCTTTTTTTCTCTAATGCGCCGCCCCTGACTGTCGCCTCGAAGCGACGTGTACGGGTGGGCCCAGGTGGGTTAGCATTATTGTAATGAGCCGCCACAGACTGCCGCCGTGAAGTGACGTAAGCTTAAATGGTAAAACAAAATGGCTAGGTGGCGTAAGCTACCGCCCGACCCAAAGGGCTCAGCCGGATTCATCCATCAGTGATGTGATTGCTGCGCCAAACTGCGCCAAGGGGCTAACCCAGAGCCGTATATGTAGAGAGTTTGGTCAATGGGAGGCGCGGGCAGAGCAAGGGCGTGCGGCAGACCCGGAAAGAGGGGTTGAAATGCTCTCTTGACCAACCAGAAGCCGAAAAGAACCCTAGCGGTGGTAGCGAAAAACAGCTCTGATCAAAGGTCTATGTTCGTATATGGTTTTATTAAGCTCATAAGAGTGAAGTGTCGTAACTCTTTGTGGTTGAAAATAGCGTGCACGTGTTGTTTTGATCATGATCATGCAGAAAGATGTAAGAAACGAATGCGCCGCTCAACTCTGTTTTGCGCGGACAGAGTGTGACCGCTCGGACGGCAGATTCCTGGCCCTCGGCGCTTGGCGTACGGATTATGTTGATAGTTCCGCTAGTCGCAGTCTTCCACCATCATTTTGGATGAGCGTGATTGAAACATCACGTGTACCATATTTTCAGCCATCGAGAGTTACTTCACTGCAGTTATCAGGCTTGTTTCTCACGACCACCGCCAGGTTATTATTTCCGGCTTCTGGTTGGTCACATTCGAATTTCTGAAGACGCCCTTGAACACGCCCAGCCCGCTTTCGGCCAATGGTGCCTCCGGATTTGTCTCCTATACTTCCCAACAAATGGCCAAACTCTCTACATATACGGCTCTGGGCTAACCCTGCTGTATCCTCCTACTTTTTACCAAAATATGGGTGATCTGCGCGAAGCTTGCGCCGAAGGACCAATGTTGGTCGCCTTTCGAAACCGAAACTAAACTGAGTACCATTATTGAGCATGCGTGAGCTAGGTGCCGCAAGCGGCCGCCCAACGCTGAAGCCCCTTCATGTTTCAAAAGCAGCGTAAGGTACGTCGACGCACGATGCATGTGTAACGTGCAGCCCTTGGGAAGATCATGGCGGCACAGCGCAGCACTGAGCTAGATTTCAGACGCCATAAATTTCCCAGAAGTGGCGCGCGGCACGTGCCTCGAGCATTTCTACAACAATGAATGGCGCCACTTTCCCCAGGGTAAAGGGGCTTTACCCGACAGCGTACGCTGTGAGCATTGAATACTACAAAAAAAATTCCATTACCCTAAATAGAAAAACATTGAAACACCCTACACTAAGATGGGTTTTTTTTCTTGAGAGTTAGCTGTGAGAAATAAATAAAAAAAATAAGAATAAGTAATCCAATGGTTCAGATACCAAACATAAAAAAAAGAAGTTACCGCAAAAAGAATAACTATACATTATTATAGTTATACCTTGTACGAGCTTCAGGAATAATTGTGAATATAGTGGAGTTCTTTTTCCAATAAGGCCACTGATGGGACACTGATGCATGCCTGGGATGTCGCAGGAACTGGCCTGTGCGTGCCGTCGAATGTCACAAACCCGGTATTTGGTCGTAGAAGTTCTGGCAAAACATACGAGCAAACGCGAGTGTCGGCGTCGTGACAGCGTCGTCGCAACTCTCTGCTGCTGAAGCTTCCACGGTCTGTCCAGCTGCAGAGTGACCTTCTGCGGAATAGGCGTCTGCCACATCCACCTTCGCAGCTGCGACACCGTCGGAATCGCGGCAGGCAACTGCGCAACTTTTTCGCAACTTTGTTTGTTGAAAATCAAATGACCGTATTTGAGGATGTGGTAAAATCGCGGGTTGGGGACGCTTTACAGGCACCATATCTTAATGATCGACACACCAACGGTGTGACGTTCGGCACTGGCTCGTCTGCTTACACTTTTGTAAATACTGAAGACTGAACTCTTTGGCCAATCCAAGCAACTCGTCTCGTAGGTGAGGGCCCAAGCTCGTGAGGAGGCCAGGAGGGTGCGGGAGCGTGTCGCTGCTAGGAAAGAGGCTGCACTCAGGACAGTGGCCAACCTGCCCCAGGTGAGCCCTTTCTTCTCGTAAGCACCCGACCCAGCTTCCTCGGGAGAGTAAGTGTGAAAGAAGCGCTGCTGTTGGCGGCATCTCTGTGGAGAGTCTCTTGCAGGTTAAGAATCGCTGGACAAACCCCTCTCGGAAAGCTTTCTGCTTGCCATGATTAGGGTTTTCCTCCTTTCCACTCTCCAGCATCCCCACGTATAGTCGGTGACAGCTTAAGCGTGAAGTGGAAGCTCCTCCCGCCTCTTTCCGCTTTAGCCGAGCAAACGCTGCAGAGGGTCGCCTCCGCTCCAGCGTTTGCTCTGCTCAAGTGGAAAGGGGTGGAAGGATTTTCCCCTGATCTCTTAACTTGTCACCAACCATAGATATCAAAACTGCAGTCCTGAATTTCTTGATGTTACTTAAAGAATGCCAACACGGAAGCTCTGGTTGGACACAGCGTCAGCATTTGGCCAGGACCTGTGTTCTCGCAGGCTGAACACGAGTCTCGGCAAAATGCAGAAGACGTGTCGAGCCTCTCTTCTGCCATGGGCGATGCTGGAAATTCAGCACTGTGGCTTTGTTTCCTAGGTCATATGCGAGCATTCACTCTGCTGAAGTGGAAAGAGGGCTTCGTGGGAGGAGCCTTTTTTTCTTAGCCCGCTATAGGGTCCCTGAACAGCATTCCAGAGTATTGCATGGCTTTTCTTTTTGCCAAAAATTTTTCTCGTTTGTTTTGTGCTGGTTGGCAGCGCGGTCTCTATTTTGGATGCTGTAAGTTCGTACCCAGTCTGAATTAACCGCTCGTAAATTCTGCTGGCATGTCATTGTGCTGAAAGCCCGTCATCTTGAGATGACGGGCTTTTTTTACTGGGGTTCGTGAGGTGAGAACGAGTATATAAATATCTTTAATAATTGTATAAATCAACCAAAAGCCTTGTGAAATTTTGACAAAACAAAAATCTTATTGCTGTGTGTAAAAGGAGGTTGCATACACTAGTTTATTTGTTTTGTTTCAGTGAAAATTGTTATTTGTACCGCTATCATTCACTCCTGCTTTGACCCTAATGGACTGGCAGTATTGATAAATAAAATAAGAGGAAAAAGCTAATTTGCAAGTTTCGTTGTCAGAGATAAATGAAAAGTGATTGCCGCTTGGATATCAGTAAAATATCGGTGTCGAAGAAATTCTTTTTATAAAAGAACCTGCCATCACAAGTTTGGATTGGCTCACTCAAACAGCAGTGACCAGAAACGCCCTGAAGGTGGCAGTGCACTGCCCTAAAATGGGAGTTTCAATTCTTTGGAAACCATCTAGTGACTCAGTCTAGAAGTTTTTTGCGCGACACAAGGGACAATCACAAGGGAGTAGACACGAACAAGCGCTTGTCCGTGTCTACTCCCTTGTGATTGTCCCTTGTGTCGCGCAAAAAACTTCTAGACTTCATCATGAACCAACTAGGCCAACAACAAGTTTTAATCATCTAGTGACTATATATAGTTGGCAACAGCTTAAGAACAGGGTACATGCTCTGCTTCTAGCATGTGGTTGTTGCCTTCTGCCAGGCTTCTGCTGCATATATGTTAACATTTTTTCAAGGACTTGCTGTCAAGTGGAGTATCTACCGATCTCTTAACCCAACCCTGACTAGAGCTACCGATCTTGCAAAGTAGCACCATCTTGCTTCAATAGGCCTGTCTCTCTGGGCCAGGGGGCCCTGTAGCCCCCTGGCCCCGAGAGACAGGCCTAGTGAGGGCAAGATGGTCTGCAAGACGCGACCACAAAGGAGGCGCCATAGTCTCGATCGGCAAGCGTTCATGAGATGCCACCCTATAATGCTGGCGTTAAGCGGTAACTCGGCATCCAATTATGCACAATCTGCAGGCGTAAAGAAGCCTCTTTCAGTATCTCGTATCGTCTTTTCACGCACACTAACGAAGCTTTCGAAGGAACTCGGAAATTTTTCAAATTGGGGAAGGAACAATGTAACTCGCATTTTCAGCATTCTGTCAAAATGCTATAATAGATTTATCTTCTTTTTTCTTTAAGTTAATAAATTTGTCATTGTGGGTGAGCGTGGTGACGCAGAAACGAAACTTTAGAGCTACAGGCCTGGAAGACTGCAAGCAGTGGGAACTCTTTCTTGACTGTCTTGCACATTGCACCACCTGTTGCCCACGCTTTGGCCTGTAAGCTGTTGTGGTAGGATTTTATGGATGTTGGTAGCCCCAATGAAACTCTTCTTAACCGCCTCTTTGCAGACGCACATTGTAATTTCAGTGTGCGAGGGACAAAACATGCTCATAATGTGGTGCACCACTCGTTGATGTTCTGTGTTATACTGCAGAAGCCCGGCAAGCCACCTCTCGAAGCACCCAAGAAATTGAACGAAGGCAGCTCGTCCCAGCTGGCTTCACGGCGAGCCTTACAGGTGAGTCCACAATGCCATCACGGTTTAGTCCCGCATTGTTTCATGCTAGAGAAAAGGAACTAGGTAGGCTGTGGAAACTGCATGAGCATGCTTGCCAAAACGTGAAAAGCCTTTTAGAACGTGAACACACTGTATCTGCACAAAAATGGCTTTGTACACAGGAGAACAGCTACGATACTACATTAGATATTTCAGACTAATACCCGGTGCATGTGTAGGGTAATACGTCCAGGGCCTGACACCGCATATTTACTACAGGCTGTCCACCAACCTGGAAAATCAGAAATTGTCAGTGAATTTGAAAGCATTCGGAAACGTCGGTGAATTGTCGGGGAAATCGTCAAAGTTGGCCAAGTCGGGGAAAATCGGTGATGTGGACTGCGCAGCGACATGCGATGGAGTGTGGGGGTGTGGCGTGCGGCGGCGTGAATGGCCTTCACGCCGACTGACTGTGGCCCATTGCATCACTAGGCAGCAAAAACTATCACCCAATTCACCGGATTAAACGGGAACGGCCCAAACAGCCGCTACAACCCCATTCCCCGTATTCTCTTTTGTAAAGGTCGGAGAGTTCGATCGAAATAGTCGGGGAAAACCTAGAAAAGTCGGGGAATTCGAAAGAGGCAACTGTAGAAACCCCGTGCTAAGTAAGGCAGGTTAGCTCTACATTGATATAGCACCCATCTAGTAGTTTAACACTTCCGCAACTCGGACTCTATTTCAACGAATGCGGACAGTTCAAGTACACGCCGGGAGTGTCGAAAGTGGTGAATTGAATGCAGACCTTCCATTTACAATTAGGTCTCTTAAAGGCCGACGTACACTTCATGCTTTCCACTTTTGCCCGCCGCCTCCTTTCCTATATCCTCTCCACTTTTAAGCTTGCCCCGACTTGGCATTCCTCACAGATTAGGAGAGGGGAGCGCTAACAGGATTATCTTCTCTGCAGAAAACCGAGGTTGTACGTCGGCCTTTAAGCTCGTCTTTCATTGCATGGCTTTTCCAGCGCCTTCAGACTTTATCTAAGGATGAGCAAAAGAGGGACCGCAGAAAATTAGGCGCTTGCGTCCGCTGTCTGTGCCGACGAAGGCGATGCCCTTCCTTTCTTTGGCATCCTTTTGCGAGGCTCAGTCTCGGCGCGAGCCCGCCGCAGTGCCCTCGGCTTTGTCCTGGCAGCCCACCACAAACCGGGACGGGCAAGGAGCAGCCTCCACCATGTCCAAGCTGCCTGCAAGGATTCCTTCCTCCGCCAAAGTGCTCGGTTCCCCAGATGACGTGGAAAACGGTAAGACCCCACTGTCCTTTTTCGGAATTGGGATTGTCCTTGGCCAACACCTTCGGTACGATGCCCTGAGCGCGTCTCCGACCGGTGCATTTACCGCGTCCTCGAATGTGGTCCTTTGACTTCCTCTCGAAGACAACTTCATAGAAGTGTCGTGCCATTCCTGGGGCTGTGGGAGAGCAGCAGAGGCGAATACGGCAAACGCCCGGGATCCCAAGCTACATGACGGGACAAAGGGACCGAGACATCGCCTCCTGCTGCGATTTCCCGCTTTGTCCCGCCGCGTACATCACAATCTCTGTTCTGCCGCAGGTCGCTCTTTAACCAGGCGGTTCGCGAAAGCTTCGGCTGCAACAAGCTTGGACGCCGCGACGACGGCAGAGCTCACGCTTGTTCATACTTCTTGCATTCATACCCCCGAAATCTTCCATTTTGCTGGGACCTCCTCTCCCTCCTCCCCCTCATACAGCATTTTGTCATGGGCGCCCCCTCCCCCCCGAATCAAAATCCTGGCTACACGCCTGACCGCAGGTAAACAATACCTTAAGTGCGACCGAAAGAAAAAAAAAAATATTGCATAGAAATAAAGAATGGTTAACACAAACCTTGTTCACTGATGATACGGAACAGAAATGTTTTCACCGTTCACATGACTTTTCCAAAAAAATATCTTGGGTTTGCAAATTCCCGTTGATTCGGCTCGACTTCTCCCAAACCAGTCAGCCGCAAAAATATTTCAGCCTCCGGGCGTGTGACTGATGCACTCGGCAGACGTCTTTATCCTGATCGTTTCTTTCACTAATATTTTCACGTCGTTGTTTTCCCTTTCTAAAATCTTTGTTTCCCCAGGTTGAAGAGCAGTCGGCGTATTCATTCAAATGTTTGGCTATTTCCAAATTCGGATCTTTGGTTTTTTTCACTTCTTTTATCTATCATTCACCATAGAAAAAAAAAAAAAAAAACTAGAGGCGGCGTAAGCAATGGGTGACCCCATGTTCTGGCGAAGGGCTGGCAGCCGGACGGCCTGAACATTTTGGCGCCCTCTAGGGGCAGGCGGAGAAAACATAGGAAAGGAGGGGACGTGATGTTTTTTGCCGTTCTGACGGGGCGAGGAGAGGAGTCTCCACATTTAAAGAGCCTTCCTACACCGTGGGGCAGGGTTAGCAGCCTATGGAGCTCCTCAGACATGTATTCCTATAATAATTTGTATTAGAAACTACAGTCACACCCGTTTATAACGAACTGCAGGAAACGCTACAATCAGTTCGATATAGCAAGTAGTTCGATATTGCAAAAACCGTTTACAACAAACTTCTGTGATGCATTCGTTGTAAGGCGAGAGCTTCTCTTTCTTTGTCATCTCTTCACTTCCGCCTGGTAACAAAGCACTAATTTTTTTTTTGCAGGTGTGCAGTTTGTTTTTTAATTTATCTTCCCTTTTAAATCACTTCTCTTCATAAGAAAATGACTTGGGATGAAATCAATATTTTTCTGTGCGTGCGTGCAGAGTATTTTCTAGCTTTCTCCCCATCTGAATCGCTTCTCTTCACTCAATTTTGTTCGCAACTTGAGCTTTTGAAATTTTCTTTCTTTCCTACTTCTTTTTAGGGAGAAGGGACAGGTTAGAAGACGATTGTTTGAGAATTTTTGGAAGCCTTCCCAGGGGAAAACGTTCGATATAGCCAATATATTGTTTTTTACAAAAAATACTTTTTACATGAGTTTTTATTTAAATTTTCCGTGAGTTCAATATCGGCAATAATTCGCTGTGGGTGGGTTCGTTCTAAACGGGTTTCACTGTACCCGGTTTGGTCTAGAAAACAAAACCCAGATTTTCACCCCTCATAAATAAACTATGTATTGCAGAAAGCCGAAAGTTTGTCAGAATTGCTGCTAGCACACGCAGCGTCACCGCTGCGTGTGCTAGCAGCGGTGACGAGATGCAACAGTTTAAAAATGTGGTGTTGCCCGGATCAAAAAATTAAAGGGCAGGGCGAAATTTTTCAGATTTGATGTTTACCTCAGCTTATTTCGTTTGGATGTGTGTGATTTATTTCAGTAAACCAAACTTGTCGGCAAGAAAAAAAAAACAATATTTTCTATCTTGCTGACACAATTGTTCTATTGAAATAAATGCCACCGGTACCCAGTTTTATTTCCCACTGCTATCGTCATGCTCTGACAGAGTTTTAGCTTTCTGCATTGCATAGTTTATTTATGCAAGTTGAAAAACCGGGTTTTATTTTTTTAGGTCAAACCCGGTATTAGTCTTTCTGAGGCACATGAGCCGAAAGATTTGATGACAAGTTGATATACCCAAACATTATTTGCACCCGACGTGCAGTTCCCCCGGCTCCCTCGTTGCCATGGACAAAAGCGGCTGGGAACGACGACAGATCTCAAGGCACGGTACGTAGATGCAACATTTGACTTTGGACGGACGGATGCTAGTGGCTATACCCCGTCGAATCGGACAGTAGCTTGCGCCACCTAGCCTAGAAATTTTTCTGCTCATCTTTTAAAATTGCAACCTAAGCCTCTGTCTTTTATCAAACAGTCTAACCCATTAATTATGTGCACAATTTTACACTTTTCTTAATCTTCTCCATCAACCTTACACCCTCTTGTTTGGGATCGTAATGCCCTCATCACCCATTCTTTCATGCTCATCTGCAAATCCAGCGCCCCTGCGAGACTTCACACTGTTGGGAGTCTGTCCTAACCATTCCTGGCATCTGTAGAGTCTCGGTAGTTTTAGTTTTTGAGTCCCGTTTAATCACAGTGAGAGATGTTCTGGTCACAGGGGTGGAACGGCTGCGCCATTTGCGCCAATTTGCGCCAGACGCATTTATCTGCGCCATCCTGCACCTTGTTGCAGAAACTGCGCCACAGCCAATACCTTGTGCCATTATGCACTAAATCGCAAAAAGAAATTCTATTTTGACTTGGTTTTGGTTTCTATCGACTTGACTGGCAACAATGAACGCATTTAGCTTGGTCAGCCTTACAATCCTTTGCTCTGTTTATTCTCCCTGTGTATCTCGAGTCGGAAGTGCACGAAAAAACTGGGGGTCGGATTCCAAGCGCTACATTACCTGGGCCTGGGTTGTTCTTCTAGCGGTTAAGCAAGTCGGCCGAGGTGAGGTCAAGTCGTTAAGCGTCAGACTGCCTGAGGCTCTGCGGCCCGGGATCCGGACGTCAGCCAGGTGAAAACAAATAAGCAAAAGATTCCTTTTAGTACTTCATTGTTAGAAGTTGGAACCGCATCCACGCAAGGTAATTCGTGGTTTGATAGAACTGAAACGCGGTCCTATTTGAAACCTTACCGGCCAGCAGCACTCACGCGAGCGGTAGATCTCCTCGGCGTACATTAACCTTGCTCCTGCTTATCGCTTCGAATACAATAACTCCGTTAATCGTAGTCTGCTGCTTCGATATTGAGTTGCACAACAGGATAAACTCAAAATTTGTTGCCCTGTTCCTCTGCACAGCTGCAGGTCCGTTGCTTACACACGTTACGTGGTTCGCACATATAATTACTATGTTGAGCATGTGTGGGTTGTGCGATAAGCAGTGCTAGTTTGAGTTTTGAGCAGCTGAAAGCCACTCAGAAACAATCGAGGACACTGTCTTCAGAAATGTATGGTACTTGCTTTTTGGTTCTCATTAGGGCTTACAAAGTGTTTTTGCATCTGTTACACTGATTTCCCATCTACCTAAATACCTAACCACTCATGTTATCCGTGCTGCTAAGCACAATTGAAGTTTCTCCTGTGCTTGTCTAAGACACTAGCTGAAGTGCAGTGAAAACTGATCTGAGCTGCTCCTAGCCTGCTCCAGAATGTAGTCTTAGCTGCTCCCAACCTGCTCCAAGACAGCTGTTTCAGTTGCTCCCGTGGCTGCTCCCAAGTACATTTCACAAGTTCCACCCCTGTGGTCATCTAAAGAACCAACTACAGTTTCCTGCAGTTTTGTTTAACCTGGTTTTGTTAAATGGGAGTCCACTGCACTTGGGGTTAGTGATAATTGAGCGAGTTTGGGTGCTTGAGAAAAAAATCCTTTGTGTGCTCTGGAGAACTACCAAGCTCCTAGGAACCTAATTTGGAAGATATCTCTCGCTTCTCTCGCATAAATATTTTATAAATGTGGCAGCGTTTCTAGGGCTACCATACCGTGATGTTGTGTATGTGTCTGTCACAGCTTGATAGCTGAATTTAACGGGAAGACGTAGATTGGCGTATAATTACACAGCAATTCAATTTCCCCATCTAGATTCAGTGGGAAGCATTCCCCCGCTAAATTTAGCAGAAAAACCTCAATTGATGTGTACACCAATTTAGTTGAAAAAACACCGGTGTAAAAGTGGCGCCTCGCTGAGGCAGACTGAGAGCACAAAGCTCAACGAATGTCTGGGGTGCAAGAAACCCCAAATGCTGTTGCATTTTCATGTCCTTTGGCAGCCACCAGTAAGAAGGGATAGTTGTTCAATGGAGCTGTTTTCTTTTGTTGTATTACGGCATATTTGAGAGAAAAGAGAATAGTCTTGGTTTTCCCCTCAAGAAATGAACTATGCATCGCTGAACGCTCGGTCTGCACCAAAAGAAAGCACTAGGCGTCCGAACCAGGGATGACTGTTGCGCGACGCAGAAGTAGCAAGTGATCTTCGAAAATATTTTTGGCAGAAAGTGGGGTACATTTTCGGTAGCAGTCGCCATTCGTTTCCATGTAGGCTTTCGTGAGCTCAGTCTGTCGCCATTTCCTCGTTTAATATTTCCGAAAGTTGGTTATAACTTGAGTTGGGTCAGGGGTTCTCAAACAGTTTGGTTTGGGGAACCCCAGAAAACTTAAAGATCTCGAACGCCCCCACCGGTTCCACTACATTAAAAACAGCTTCTTACACTGATAAAAAAAATGAAAAACATATTGATCTTAGTGAAAAAAGTGTGAATTGTTTTGCTCGCAACAGCGATCCAATGCGTGGTCGAGTCACACTTATGGCCGGTGGGTACTCGCGGAACCCAATGAAGCAGCTTCTGCAAAACTCATTTCGGGGACACGTATTAGATAGTAATGGCAAGTGCAGAAGTTTAGTATCTGGTTCGGACCACCAATGCCACATGTTAAGTGAAGACTGAGCGTAGTGCGGTGCATAATCTATGACAAAAACGCTGTTCTCTTTTCTCCCAAACTACTGGTACACTGTCTTTGCGAGAGGAGTCTCATGGGTTCTTGTCTTGCTTTGTTCAGTCTTGTGCGGCGGTCACTGCTGCCAACCCCCTGGCGAGAGCTCTGTCGGAGATGACGCTCAAGCAGAGGGAGCTCTTCGGGGAGACCGAGCAGGATCTTGGTCGTGGAGTTGCCGCCTCCAGTCCTACTCCTGTGAGTGACCTTGTGTTTATTATCTTTTTAAACCTGGAATGGACTTGCAGTCCATACCCAGTAGTTTGAAATCATCTAATCTTAATTTTCGGTCGGCTGGAAGTAGGGATGTGCAGTCATACATTCGAGTCAATTGGAAAGTGTGTGCGGCAATTCAAAGTTTGGCCTCTACGACTGGTTAATTTTAGGATATTTTTGTGTTTTCGAGAAGTTCGGTAACTACGGGAGCATGAAAAAGTCTCGCGATTACGCCGACCGAGCTGAAGTCGCACCCATGCACACTTTCATCGGTTTTATCTTCTCTGCTTGCCATCTGCAAAAAAATGGAATGAGCGTGGCACGTTACTAGCCGCCAGGCGGGCAAGCCAGGCCAAGCCAAGCGTGGCTACGGGCATGCACATCATGGCACAGTTTTCAGAAAAGTCACGGAAGGGAGCACAGCCATGCAGCGCATGCGGTTAACAAAGCTTGGTTTGAAGATTTTATTTATTTATTTATTTATTTACAATACCCTCAAGGCCGTGAGGCGTTAAAGAGGGGAGTGGGTAATACAATATTGATGAATCACTTCGCGAAATGTGGTGGAATCCTCGATGGCTGCGATGTCACCGGGAAGGCCATTCCAGTCCACAATTGCGTCGGGGAGAAGGGTGCCTTGATGTGCTGTGGAAAAACATCGTGGCCGGGCTATTTTTTTCGGATGATCTAGTCTAGAGGATGAATAGGTTGGCGGAGTGAGAAGAGTCTGATGTAGTAGAGGGGAATAATAGACTTTATGCAATAGGCACAGGCGAAACATTTTCCGTCGGGTAGCAAGTAAGGGAAGAGAAAGGTCAGATTTCATTCGAGTAACACTAGAAAAACGTGAGTAGTCAGATGCAATGAACCGGGCAGCACGGTTTTGGACAGCCTCAATACTGTCTGTTAGTGAAGAAAGGTGAGGGTGTCAAATGGAGGATGCATACTCTAATTTTGATCGTACTAAGGAAATGTAAAGGAGTCGCTTTAGGTTCGTGCTTTCCACTTTCCCCCCACTTCCTCCTCTCCCCCCTTCTACTCTGTCCACCATTGCTGCCTGTTTCCTCCTCCTCCATGGTGGGGAGGATCTTCTGCCGTGCAGAATCTCGTGTCTGGTCGTCGGCTTTTAAGGGGGAACATGGCCTGGGAGGGTCAACTTTTGAAGTTTCCTCAAATTGATTCAAACTTCCAGGGTGAATTGTACCCCACTAGGAGTGATGGCATCTAAAGTATCAGTCTTGTAGGCCAATTCTTCAACTCACTATGCATAACAAGCTCCAGAAAAAATTGTCTTTATTAGGAAATGTATATTAAAAAATCATAATTGCAATCCACGAAATGTTTGTCGATGTTAAACGAGTATGGAGCAGCCCTATATAAAAAACACGGACTTGTTCCCTGCTGACTGAGGGCTGCTCGCATTCCGAAAATAATTTGCGAGATAAATGCTGCATGTTTTTAAATGAAACTTTTAGAAGCCATTGTTTGGAACTTGAGGCGATGCAACAATTTTTACTTCGAAAGAATTTGCAGTTTTTAATTTTTACATTGTTTATCTTACCAAGAGGAATGGTAAAACCGCCTCATTCTTTTGAGATATATCTGGATTCTGTGTAATAGCAAAGAAAATATCTGGATTCTGTGGAATAGCAAAGAAAACAACTTGAATCTTTTGCGATTTGTAGCCGCAGGGTGGTGGCCATGGCAACTAAGGTGTATCGCACAATGGGTATAATACAATAAGTTGGCAAGATGTGCCATTATGTGCTTAATCTAATGCATTATTTGAGAAATATTGATGTTTCAGCTTGAGTAAATGCGTCAAGAGCCTCATATCATCGACAAAGTTGTACTATAGTATTCAGTTTTAACGGCGCCACCTGCCCGAGATGAAAAAAAGAAATGCTGTTTTTTCCTTGAGCTTTATCTAACCTCACCCCATTGTGCTGCTACGTCGGTCGAACTTCGTTATGGAATGGCAAGCTTTTTGCTCTCTCTCCCCCAACCCTCTCTTTCCCCCCTCCACGTCAAGGTCGCCATGTGAATCGCAAGCAGAAGCCGCATGCACTGGAAACTTTGAGAGAAAACCCAGCCGCATCCTCCCTGTCCCCATTACACATCACTGCGCACGTGACTTGGGAAGACAATGTACGAGTTGAGAATGGTTTGGAGGCGCCAAAAACGTCACTTGCTTTGCTTTTGTTTTTCTAAATATAAGCTAATGACTACCACAATTATTTGACCAAAGTCCAAATATTGTTGCATGGCCCCTTTAATAAACGTGAACATAATGAAAAGAAGCTTTTTTTCCTGAAAAATTCGAATTCCAAGGCCATGTCCCTCCGTAGACCAAGCATAGCATGTTTTGTTGTTCTTGTTCATACACTGCTGTTCTCCTTTGAGAGCGCAGTTCCTCGTTATAATCCTAAGATGGAGTGGTTTCATCTTGCGCAGGCCAGGGCTGCCACACCCAAGAGGCTACCCCCGGGCGGGCTCTCGTCGCCGCGGCTGCCCACCCCCGCCTCTGCCAAGACGTCCGCTCAGGGAAAGGCACGCCTCCGAGAGGTAAGCCCTCAAAAAACACATTCTCACCGTTAACCCTTTGAGTGCCGGGTGTTTGTTTCCCGCGTGGCCAATGGAAGTTTTGGTTTCGGTGACACTGTAGCACGCTCTGTGAGAATTGTTTATTTATAAAAGACAGACTATGGTCAAAAAGTTCATTGGTGTCTGCGTGCCTTCAACCTAGAACATATCTCTCGTATTGAATTCTTTGGAAATGCCATGCTATGCAGTGGCACCTCGACCTCGCACTCCGAGGTCACTCTTTTGAGCGGCCTTACTCTGTCTTTTCTTATTCGGAAGCGTAACTTTCTTGTCTTCAAATGTCGAATACCAAGTTCAGTACTAATTTCTAGAGTTCAGTGTTCACAATAAAGTGTGAGGTTAAACGGCATAGATTTGCCATTCTGCAACAACAAAGGTACGCAGCAAAGCAGAAGTCGCCTAAACAAAGACATTACATGCCATCAAAAAATGAAGCGTTTACAATTCTTTGTAATGTCAAATTAGAGCGGAGCTCTTGAGGAGGAGGAGGGAAGGGTACGGAGGGGAATTTACCGGGAAATTGTGGGACAATTTCCCGGTAAGTTCCCCTGCTAAATTTGGCGGAACTATTTCCCCGCCAACCTTAGCGGGAAAATTTTCCCACTAAATTTGTCGGAAAAATTTTCCCACTAAATTTGTCGGAAAAATTCTTCCGCTAGATTTAGCGGGAACAATTGGCCACTAGATTTGGTGGAAAAATTTCCCCACCTGCACAATATTGCGAGGACGTTTGACTGCACGAAATCTGGCGCACAGGGGGTTAAAAGAGAAAGCTCGCTTTTTTATTTGTGGGCATAGTTTCATCTATCAATGTTTTTTTGTTTTGTTTTTTTACAGAGAAGCACCCCCTTTTGACCATGTTTGCCCACTAAATGGGAGCTTGGAATGTTGTAAAAACTTTTCAGTCAGTCCACTTAAACTGCGTTTGGTAGATCTAGTTCACCCGACTTGCGATTAAAAAACAACGCCCTTCCGTGTCGCAAGCGCCAACTGCCAGCCAACGCCGAAGCCGACTCTACATTAGTCACTGCTTTCCAATCCGGCTTTGGTCTTTTTTTTGGGGGGGGGACGTTGTGCTGCCTTTGAAGGCTTGGCCTCGCCAAAACGAGGCTCGAAACTGACCCATTTTTCGTGGTGCCAGCCGGCGAAATGCGCACTCTTTTTCTTCATACAGGCAGCATACTGCTGACAGGAAAAGTAGATGCTTGCACCGTTGACTTTGTTTCGCATCCCTTCCAGTTCTACATGAGGCTGCTCGACGACTGCGGAACCCAGACGTCAGGCACGCCACTCAAGGAGGTGCGTGGGAAAATGGCATTGCCGCTCTCGTCAGAGCCGTACATTTTTTCTTGTCTCACAAAGACGAGAGTTTGCGATGGTTGCACCGCGTCTACATTAGAGACCCAGTAGATTCCCCACCTGTATTGCGAGCTTCCTGCCTTTGGTTACACTTCGTGACACCCACGGCAGGCACAACGACAGGCAGCGAGTGCATGTTGAAAGCAAAGAGTCTACCAGGCTCCTAACCGGTGCCCAACCACATTCCGCATGCACACGATTGTAAGTCGACTCCATTGTAAGTCAACATCAGCAAAAAAAAAAGTATTTTGGTGCACACTGTACAGTTGAACCTCGATTTTACGAAACCCGGTTTTACGAATTTAACGAACAAATTCGGATTTTCCACACAGCCTATGTGCGAGGTCTCCCTTCCTCGATTTTACGAAGTTCCTGATTTAACGAAAAAATTAGCGGGTTCAGTGAGTTCGTTGAATCGAGGTTCAATTGTACTGCAAACTCGAGAGAAGGGCAAAGCATCCGTTTCGAAAGCCCAGCCTCCAACACATGATCAATGACTTCAGGCCTGCTTCGGCTGCGCATGCACGCGCGAGGTGCATGAGATGCCCAGGCGTTATCGAAACTAGGAAGTTCACGCTGGAGGTGGGACAACTGAAGCTGCTCCCTGTCATTCTCACTCCGTCCGCGACTAGACTATGACTCGTCCGCACTGGTGATGTCAGTCTCGTCATCATCACCGCTACACTCTCTAACCACGTCGGCGGCGTAGTCCAACGAAATCTCGCACTTCAGAAATGACAGCATCAACCGCATCTTCCGCGCTTGCTCGGCGATCGCGTTGCACGTCACGGTTGGGGACCGATTGCGCACTTTTGTGGCATACGTTGCGAGCCTGACCTTCAGCTCCAGAAGGCATGCCCACCTATTCAGAGTTTGGACAGCGGAAGCTTCTTTGTTTGCCGTCACAGGTTAAGGTCCAGGGCCATTGCAGACTCCACTGGAGCATCACCCGTTCCGACAGGTCGAACTTGCGTCCAACAGCACAGTTGTTGGTTGCTTCTGGGTAAAGAGTTGCCATAAATGAGCACTGAAAACCTGAACTGCCCGTATCACGTGTGTCAATACAAAAAAACATAGCGCTCCAGCATGATCTCTACACTCGATCATATGACATGTGACCGTGAATCGTGTGAATAACTGAAAAGAAGCTGCGGGAAGTGAGCTGTGAGGCTGTTCCAGCGGCCTCCGGAGTGGCCCTTAAAAGAAGCGCCACCACCCCCGGTGGTCGGGCGTGCTGTGCGCTGTTCACCGCCGTACATTCAGGTTAATTCGCGAATTGCTGTCAATAATACTCGTTTGCTCAAATAAAAAAAAGAAATAATTTGTGAAATGGGTGCACAGAATAGCGCAATGCTACAAGTACAGCTGGCTAGACTCCTAACAAGCAGAGGTGTTCTTGATATCGCGATTGTTTTAGTTTTCGTTGTCGGTGGAATGCTTTGGTTCGATGATAAGTCGACCCCCCCACTTCAGATTTTCAAAAATAGAAAAATGAGTCGACCTACATTTGTGTAAATACGGTACATACAAATCGGACTTTTGAACAAGGGCATTTTGCATGTCTTAATCTTCCACATCAACCACTAGGGTAGCTTATATCCTTAATCCTTGCTTCTCATAAAAAAAAAAAAAGTCTTTTTAAGCATGCTAAGGCAGTTGGGACGATTTTACTTTGGGGAAGCACCACCGAGCAGTCTTTGTATCAGCTGTGTATGTTTACCGGGGACAAGCTGCTGGTGTAAGGAAGGGAAGGGGGGGGGGGGGGGGGGGGGGCTTGGACAAGACCAATTAGATTGTTGGAATCTTTAAACGATATAATCTACCACCACGTAACGTCGTCGCGCTCAAATCGTGCTGACGCAGCAATTGGACCGGAGCCAGACGCCGAGAATCCTCCGACGCGTAGATTGGGTGCGGGGCCCAGCCGAGTGCTTACACGGCGCTTGTGCCCAACCTGTCCGCGCTCCGTCTCGCCAGGGTGGCGTCAAAGTGCCAGTGCTCGGGCTTTGATTATTCTGAAGGACGTTGGCAAGTGTCACAATCTTTGTAAAGTTGGGAGCTGCCTCAACTTGGCGATCACTCACGCTTACAAAATTTACACAATATCAGCATTGCAACAGTTGTGCTGCAGCGCATTTACAATTTTCCGAGTCTCCAACCACAAAAAACACTAACTTTAAAAAAAAAATAAAAAAATTTTTAAGTTATTGATTTTTGGGGATTCCCATGGTGTTGGAGGTAGCCCAATTACCTTCCAGCTTTCGGCGCTCCATTTTATTCTGCCGACTTGGAGCAACTTAAAAGGTAACTAGACTGAAATTCGGTACCAGAACAAATGGCTTGTATCCTCTTAGTTGGACATAATAGAATCGTAAGAACAGTTTTGTTAAAATGAACTTGAACTTTGAACTTGATCTTGGCAAATGGAATGCAGGTGGGCTGCTACTGTCATCGCGAGTGGCGACCCCATCAGGTTGCTCGAGTCGCAAAGGTCCAATACAATGCCAATATAGTGCAAAGTCATGTTGAAAATGACAGTACCAACTTGGAACTGCACTACATGTGTGAATGGGCTTTAATTGAAATGTCAAGCCCAGGAATGACATGAAACTGTTTGATAAATGTGCACTTGTTTGCTCCCTGCGTGAACCTATTTCATTACTTGAAATGCTTTGGATTGAGCAGTGCATTCTTGGTGCAGGTGCAGTCAAAGGCAGCTGGATCCAGTGGCACTTTTTGTAAGTTTGTTCCTTCCTTTACCGATTGCCCCCTGGATTTTCACAGGTTCCATTTCTACCTTGTGACGAACGACTTGGCATTTGTTTTATATGAAAAAGATTTAAAATATAAGGGGATTGCAGATGCTGGGAAACGATAGAGAACTCTTGAAATAAGTATACAGCGATCCCTCTTTACCTAAAACTCTGCTATCTCAAAATAATGCTTGACGTAGGAAGATTTCTTCTCAAAGAATGAGCTCCCATTAGCACAATGCATTTACTCATTGCTTATCTTGAAAAGTTTTTTGGACCTACCATATCTCGAAATTTTGACAACAAATATTACCGAAAAAAACGGGCAGGACGCAGCAAGCAATTAACTAATGGCCTAAACATTGATTAAAGAAGAAACAGGAATCCAAAAACAAACGGGAAAAAAGAGGTAAACGAATATTAAATTCTGCATCATCATGCGTGCAGCAACGCATCCAAGAAGAGAAAATTGATGCCTGCAGTGATGTGATTGCTGCGCCAAACTGCGCCTGGGGGCTAACCCTGATACATCCTGCTACATTGTGCCAAAATATGGGTAACCTGTGCCAAGCCTGCGCCAAAGTCACCTTTCAAAGTCTTCTTTCAAAACTGAAACTAAACTGAGTACCGTGAGATAGGTGGCGCAAACGGCCGCCCGACACAAAGTACCTTGCATCAATCGTCCATCTGGTCTTGCATGGGTTTTCCTGCCGTCTCTCACACTCTCGTCGTCTCGTGGGTCTCGTCTCGCGTCATTTTTTTAAAATTTTTGTATGGATAGGTGCAAGCGTGTATGGACGCTCCGATGCTAGCGTGCCGGGTACCAGTCACACCGTCGTGATGTGAAATGAAACCACATTTTTGCATGGCGGGAGTTACTTTGTGATCTGAAGCACTCGCTCCTGAAAGTCACGGCCGTGGGAAAACCATGTTTCGTCCCTGCCTACCAGTCACGGTGGTTGCATGAATTTGGGTGTTGCCGTCCCCATGTCACTGCACATAAGGACTGCCGCAAGGTCACCAACATTCCTGTTCTTGTTTAAATCATACGTTGCTACGAAAATCCTTCTTTAACTCAAAGACGGCTTTGTCGAAGTACTGATTACCTAGGTTTCTCTCGGTGGGCTTTCTTTTGAGAGGGACCCTGCTACGTGAAAAGTTTGCCGCGAAAGAAAGTTGGTGAAGAGCAGTGAGCTAAAGGAAAAAGGCAATGTCTGCATGCTGAAACTGCACAACGCGCTTGTTTGTCTCGAGTTCAGTCGTTGCACGAAGCACGCCAAGAACTTTTTGACCCTGACTCACAATGTCTTGCATTGATTGGCTCAGGGGCTTTTTTTTTTCTGTGCATTTAGCAAGTACCTCGCCTGCCGGCCTATTAAGCATGCGCTGCTGGTCCGTTTTTTGTTGTATGCTGGACCGTTACAGTTTGCATACAATTTTGGAAATTGGTTGGCGGCGGAGCGGAGTAGCATGATTTTCGTTTCGACCGAACAGCCGTCTCCGTTCGCATGACGAAGTGCGTGCAACTGCAAGCTGCCGAAGTTGTCCTCACATGCATGCGAACATGATTGCATAACAGAGGCACCAGCCAAGACTCTTGCAATCCATCGCTTTACGTTTGTTTGCTTTTGATGAAAATCTGGCACATCGGGAACCAGTAAAGCGGTGGCAAGTGGTTTCTTGGAATTGCTCAGCAACACATACAGCACTGTACACTTGTATGATTTCTCAATGTCTCTTTGGAGACATTGAAAGTGGACATTCATTACTTGTTGAAGGCAGCACTGTACACTTCTGGGATGTCTAAATGTCTCTTTGGAGACATTGAAAGTGGACATTCATTACTTGTTGAAGGCAAAGCGTGGCTTACAGCAGCCTTTCAGAAAGTTTGGAAAAGCAAATGGAAAAGCAGCCGCTAGTCGTACTGCACCTTTTTCTTGTGTACAGTTTCACGTTGCACTGGACTAGTTACATATTTCATCAGTCATAGACTGCTTCAACTTATTTTATTATATAACTAGTCAACTGTATGCTTTGATATTTACTAGTAAGCTGGTCATATTCAAATAAATTTATGTGCAGTTTGGTTCTTATTTATCTATAGTGGGCACATATATATGTATAACTTAACTGAAGCATTCCAAATGTCATGTCATTGGCATTTCAGTTAACATGTACTCCCAGGTGGTCTAACTTGACCATACTTTTTTTTATTGTGGCGAGCAAAGTGCATTTTATTTGTTCAGCCCTTAAAACATATTTTTATTTTTTTAAGAATATCTGCTTCAAAAGCCATTTTTTTTCTGTTCCAAAACACTGTTTTGGCTGCTCCAAAAGCCATGTTTACTTCTACAAAACACTGTTTTGGCTGCTCCAAAAGCCATGTTTACTTCTACAAAACACTGTTTTGGCTGCTCCAAAAGCCACTTTTGCTACTCCAAAACACTGTTTCAGCTGCTCCGAAAGGTGCTCCAAAACGGCTTAGGCCAATCACATCACTGCGCCTGAAGCACCTTTGTTATCATACTTTTATTTCTCCTCTGACACAGCTTGGTGGCTGGTGCCGCTGTTTCTCTCTGCCTTGCCCTCAACATTATCTTCCACTCTGTCTTTTTCATTTCTTCTTTTTTTAAACTAAAAAATCATTTTAGTTTTTTTTTTTCTTTTTTTTTTTTTTTTTAGTGTTTAAGGTTGATAATTTTGTTGCAGTCGATTTTTTTTCTCTCCGTGACACCATGTGCCTGTGAGTGTCAAGTCAGTTGGCGCGATTGTTGAAAGGGTTCAATTCGCACAATGCGTGATCAGTGCAATGAAAATTCAATATCTCGCTTATCTTGAAACTAGGCTTATCTCAGTTTTACAGCAGAGCTGTTAAGGGCTAGTTTCCCCAGTATTGTGTCTGTCAGCAAACAAATGACATGAAACTCTGGACAGCTACCGCCATCTATGAGTGACGGTGGCAACCTTTCGAGCCTTTCCGTTCTAGCTCGCTGACTTGCTGCTAAGCATTACTTCATTCCCACCACACTACAGCTTCGCTGGTCTTCCTTCTTCACCTGGAAGTTTTTGTTCTCTTGTTATGATGACTCATGATTTCAAGTAGGCATACTGTAGGCATATCTCTTCTTTTATTGTTTATGGACCATCTTTAGCTGTTAGGGGAAGCGCATCCCACGTAGCACGAGAACGTTCTGAGAACATTCCGGGAATGTTCAAAATAACATAGACAACATTCTTGGAATGTTGAAGGTTTACGTAAGAACATTCTATCAACGTTGTCAGAATGTGGCGCAGGCACTTATCGCTACATTCGGGGAATGTCTTTTGACATTCCCCGAATGTCAAAGTGATTCAACGTTGTGAAGTGATTCGAAAGTGATTCAACGTTGGCCGCTCCAACTCCGTCGCATTGACTGCGCTGACGATTGCGCCTCACGTCGCACACTAGAATTGGCAGATTTCGGCGACTTGGCTCATTTGAAAGTTTGCTGGCCAGTTTAATAAATATATACTAGACGGAATGAGATTCTAATATTTGACATAGGGTCATCCTGTACGATACTGAAGAGGGCTGCATAATTTTCTAAATATCAAAAATGAAGCGGAGTTGCCCTTAACTTGTCAAAATAAAGGGTGTCTCAGTGTCGCATGAATTGAGCTAGGACGCGCAACTTTATACTGCCAAACCACAGCCTTCTCGCTGCCAAATGATAGGACTAGATAGACTAAGATCTGTTTCTTGTGCGTGGCCAGATGGATGCTCCGCGGACCACCAACCGTTGGCAGCTGACGTTGCGGTGGGTGCAGACAGGCTGTGGTCACGACCGCCACCACTGCCCAAGATGGTTGCAGCGGTGCCACTGCCATCGTCGCCACCTGCACAGGGTGAGGAATCGGCGGCATCATTGCCGCAGTCTTATTTCCACCGTAGCATATTCACCCTAAAGTAGGGTTACTCAAACTGTGGGATCTTGGAGAATGCTCGATCCCAATTTTCCAGATTCTTACCCAAATTTGCACGGGCACTATGTTACGATATTCGGATCCCAGGCTGCAATGTTGAACAGCACAGTAGATTGCTTGAGCAGCTGTGGGCTCTTGTACAGCGCTTTCAGAGTCCGCATGTTTGAGTATTTTATGGGTCCGTTTGATTTCCTTCCATGACTGTTGGAGCTATAATCTGCGGCAGGTTAGGCACCTTTGCTCAGCGTAAACTATTTCGTGCTATGTTGTCGAGGCTACCGTAACTTCTGCAGTGCTTCAGCAAGTCCTTTTTGCTTGAGAGCGGGCGCAAATGAGATTCCAGACAAAGCCACATGCTTTTGCTACGGGGCTGCTGCAATGTGGAGGCTGCATTAGCTTCGACGACGTACTGCAAAGTAATTGGTGCCAAGTATAGTAGTAGCTCTGCCTCCAAACCTGTCGCCGACGATGGTGCAGAAAGTGCGTGCCGGTGCTTCGTGGACTGCTCCTCTACGCATTTTATAGGCAACACCCGCGGCTCGATTAGGCTTCGACGGTGGATTTTATCATGTGGGTGTACACCTCAGATACCCCACTGTGTGCTTTCTAAGAGCGCATAAGTGCAGGAAGTTTACATAAATCGAGATAACCTAGGCCTGTGTAGAGGAAATAATTGTATATCTGCTTTGTATGTGTAGTCATCCATATACCTAATCATAATTTTATCGTGCCTCATATTTAAATGAATTTCTTACAATTCATACAAAACTCGTGGCTTCCCCGAGTTTAATTAATGGGGGTCTACTGTAAAAAAGAACCAATAAAGCAGTGCAAACATGGCGCAGCCCTCGCAGCTCCCTCCACCCGCAGTTTTGTCGGCCTCCAGGTAGCGCAGCGTGTGTCGAAAGCCACATGCTCTGCCGTTTGTGTTTCGTTTGTTTTCCAACTACACATAGAGACAACAGCCAAATGATGCATGTCACGCAGGGGACGCTCCGAGAACATACACCGGCGAGCCGGCTTGCGTCGCCAAGAACGAGAGCCCGGACAGTTTCCTGGTCCACACCACTTCTCTCGCCAACGTCACCCACAGGAGACGGCGACGGCGCCAAAGCTGGGGCTCGCCCCTTTTCCTCGCCTCGTCACCCACCGTTGCCGACGCGTCATCTGCCACGGTCGCAGCGTCGCCCGTCGCGACGTTCCAGACGGTGGCTCTGGCGTCGTCCGTCGCAGCCGGAGCGTCTCCCGCGGCGGTGGACGCATTGCGGCGGGTGGCTCGAGTATCGCCGCTTTCGGACGACTCGGAGGAGAGCCCGCGCTGGCTGCCGCCCCCGGTCCGGATGCGCCAGTCTTTCGGCCTCAACATGGAGGCACGTCTGGAGGAGCTGAGGCTGGAGCGGGAGGAGGTGTGGCGGCCCCTTGTGTGCCGGCCGCGGGCGGCACCCTCGGAGGGCTCTTCCTCACCGGCCTCGCCCTTTGTGCCAGACACGTCTCAACTCGGTGAGCTTGCGGCGGCTTTCTCCTCTAATCTCCCCACTCTGATAGTACTACGGGTATGGGTGTTGTTTTAATGCGGAATGTGTTTTATTGGCCGATTTCCATGGAGTTCTGTAATGTTTGGCTGTAGACCTTTCCAGCACTTACCATCCTGGCAAAAGATGCCGAGTCACTTGGCTGTGGACACACGCACTGTTATGTTCAACGTTATGTTGTTCAGTGACCATACATAAATTCAGGCAATATTATATTTGCCAGAAAATACATGGAAGAAGGGCGCGCCGTGTGTCTGGCTCCGGGCTGCTCCAATCCTCAGGTGTCAGGTATTCTCACGAGCACCAATCCCCCGAGGAACACATTCTCGAAAGCCAGCGGATGAAGCGGATGTTATTCTTGCATAATATAGGGCGAAAACAACCCTGAACGTAACCTGAGGTGCACCAGCTGTGTGTGCGCTCGTCCGTCCTCCGCTTTCTCGTTCTTGGGGTGCGCTTTGGCATAAGCTCAACACAGACACATCACCCGCAGACACATCGCCCACGGACACATCACCCGCGGACACATCGCCCGCAGACACATCACGCACAATGTGTTATTTTTCTTGGAAGAGAACTACTGCACACGTTTCATTGTCCAGTAGTCAAAGATGGCAGCATACAGAAGGCAATTACTGGAAAGGTCTAATGTCTGGCTGTAGCAGCCGGTTGTTACAAGCAACCGACACCGAGAAGCATTACGCATATAGGGCAGGGGTTCTCAAACTGGGTTCCACGAGCTGGTCTCATGGGTTCCGCAAACACCCAAAGTGCCACCCCCCCCTCCCCCCAATCCCCCCTCCCCCTCCCCCGCCGCAGGCTGCGCGGCAGGACCATGCAAAGCGCCTTCATCTCACTTTGTACTGACATCGCGATTGATATGGTGGGGGATATATGGGAAGCAACACAAGCAAAATTGCCTACAATTGTGCATCTGTTGCTTCTCGGTCGGCAAATATGGAGGGGGGGAGGGTTCCGCAGCAGTTTTTGAGGCTTCCTGGGGTTCCGTGAGACCAAAAAGTTTGAGAACCCCTGATATGAGAAACCACGTAAAAACTTGCCACCTCGAGGCTGTGAGTCAGTGCTTTGCTGACAGCTATCCAGGGTCAGCGGTAAGGACCATGCAAAAGAGCCAATTCGTGCAGCGTGTAAATGAGCTCACACGTAAATGAGCTCGCATGTTTTGCTGTCTTTTTAGGCTTGTAGCACCATCTCGCGGCGTGTCAGAAATGAAAGCAAATCTTCGGTAGGCCGTTCAGATGCCCTTCTCTTCTTTCCTGGAAGGCCTATCGCACCTTCTGTGCTTATCAGCATTTATCAGCATGATCGAGACTGTAAGATTTATTTATTTATTTATTTGCTTATTTACCTATATACTTCCCATAGCAGCCTGGAGGCATGCATGTGGATTGCCTCGTCCTAACATCCAGTAGCTGGTGGTGCACACGAAAACTGAGTACTACCAGCTGATGTTCCTTCGTGTCTCCGATTACGAAAGAAATCAAGCAAGCTGTAAGATATGTCTCCGTGCATAGAAAACCATGTGGTAAAGGTTCACCGGTACAGATTCTCGCTCGAGTTTAAGCCAGACGTAAGTCACCTTCCTGCAGTTGTAATAGAGGGAAGGGGGATGAGTCCTTCTCGATAGCCTAAGGCAGAAGTGTGCAGTCCAAGGTACCTTCCTCGAGTACCGACAGCTCGGTTTAGTGCCCATGTCATCTGGCTCCCATTGATGAATGTGTGGATAAGAACAGAAACCTCACCACCTTTTCCTCATTTTGGGGTTAAGAGAAAGAGGGGATCGAGCCATGAGAGATGTCTCGGAGGTCTTACTGTATTGCTTTGCATCTTCTGTTTGCCAACCAGAGAACCCGAGTTCGTGCGACGCGGCCGCCGCCGGCACCCCGTTTCGTGCCGATATCCGGGGGGCGTCTCCTCCTTGGTTCGCGGCGACTCGGAGCATCGTGCAGGCGAGGGGAGGGACTGCTCCATCGCCTCTCGCTTCCCCTGGAACCACGTGTAAGACAGGAGGAGGGAGCACAGGGAATCTAGATCTAGTGGCTAAGCTTGCAGATTGTGGTGGTCGACTCTCATTAATTCAAACTCCAGGAAGCCACAGACTTTAGCTTAAAATATCGGAAGTTTGGATTATAAGAAATTCATCTATATATGATGAGGCAAAGTTGCAATTTGCTATAGGAATATAGCTACATATACTTTTATCCACACAGACCTATTTATAAGCAGGCACAGACATAAAGAATTGGTGAATGCACAACACGCATAGAAAGAGCCATAAAAGTAAGGTTCAGAATCTCCACTCAATGAACTATTTTTATTGGTCAAATTTTATAGAGGTGGTGGGGACACAAGGGTGCCCCCCCCCCCCCCCTACCAACCCATTCCCACAAGAGAGAAAATATTGCCAGTGTATATCTATTCTTGTGTGTTTATTAGGTTGTCTTGCAATCTAGAACTGTTCATTTTTATTGTCTAAAGTCCAACAATGTCATAAAAAACAAGCTTCTACAAAAAGCATTTCTGTGCCCCTTTAATACTCCAGTCAAACAGGCTAATTTAGTGCACTTCAACCACCTGCACTTTGCCTTTAGTGTCAATTCTGTAGTGTGCCACACTACTTCTTCCTGAAGAACACACTTGGCTCCAAATGAGTTTGATGAACTCTCTTCACTCGATCGAGTGTGTGGCCTCGATAACAGTTGTTCAACTGTAAAACATAACACAGAATGCAAAAATATGGAGTAAATTCTGTTCTAAAGAGAATTAGAAATTTGTAAAAGAAAGGACAGAGTGTCATTGCAAAACGAATTGTGGGGTGAACTTAGCCTTACAGTTTAGGCTGATCGGTTCTAAGGTTAATGCCGCGGTGAATCGATAGAAGACGATGACAAAGTCCGTCATTTCAGTGATACCTTGCTTAGCAGGGGAGGATAGAACCTGCACTTGTTTTAGCATGAAGCTGTACGAGGTAACACAATAATCAACCTAATAAGGCAGTGTTGGGGCCTTGTTGTAGGCCTCTGTGGAACGAAGCGGAATGCTTCTTTATCTTGCAATGATCGATCAGAATCATCCAATTTGCATAAAGATCATTCATGAATGTAACATTGTTTTTAATGTGTCTTTATTAAATAGACAAAATATCGGTAGGGCCGAGACATTAATGTCTCGGTTATTCCGGTAACTGTAACAATTTACGTGTCTAATTGTACTCTATCCATCGTCATTGCCATCATTTGCAAGTGACTCTAATTTTTCCGTGCGGCAGTGAAACATTTCTAGTGACGTTCGGTGAGCTGCATTGCACTCGGTTGAACTGCACTAAATTAGCCTGTCTTACTGGGCTATAGGCTTTTATTGCACACGCTGCCAGGCTGCGGTGCACTCTCCACTCGGCCGCGCACTGCATCCCGCACACTTTCGTCGGAATCGGCAGGCATCCGAAGCAGTCCGGTGGAGGATTCTCCGGCGAGCCGCGACTCTGAGCCCTCGGAGCGTTGGCAGGGCTCTCCCTCCTCGGAGGGGGAGGACGACGGGTGGGTGGAAGAGCAATGGGAGAAGAGGCCACGCCCCTGCCCTCCCCCTCGCCTGCTGGCCAATCAAGAGGTGCTGGTGCCACGCATGCTCAGCACCATCGCCGAGATGGAGACCCCGGACCTGTCTTCATCCACGGGCACCAGCAGCTCTGCAGAATCGGTGGGTACAGCGTTGAAGTCTCGGTTTCCTAATTGTGGTATTTTCTACTGGTGTAGAGTCCGCACCCGCCACGTAGTCTGCGCGTAAAATCCTTATGGCGTGGCGCACCTTCGAAAATGCCCACTTTGTTTGTGCACAGAGTAGATTGCATCATTAAGAAATCATCACTAACATAACCGTCGTTAAAAAAAATTAATGAAGTCTCGTCATAATGAACACTCTTCAAACGGCAAGTACCTGTTATTCTGTGCCGCCCAAAATTTAACTAATGAACATTATAGTCTGGAAATGTCCCATTTAACACTTGATGACACTACAGCTCTTTGAAAGTACCACATGAATCAGTTGTGTAATCGATTGTAAAGCTCCCCTAGGTCGGTAATTTATTATTTGAAATAAGAGTTTGCCCGAGTCGAGAAAAAAAATTATTATGAAAGAATTAGCGTTATGGAGCATTGTGGCACGTATTACGACAGAGAAGGAAAATAAAATAAAGTTGACTCTCTTTTGATCCTATTCATTATGAAGAATAAATGCCACAGCAGCCCTTTGCGTCATCCAATGTTTTCACGCAAGCTAGGCATATCCTAATAGAAAATGCCTTTTTTTTTCTTACTTTGGCAAATTTAAGGGGTGCTGGTTGCCTCAGTAGCTTTGAGGCGGAGCGCCGGCCTACGGATCCCGGAGTGGCAGGTTCGAATCCTGGCCGAGGTGCCAGGGTTCGATCCAATGGAGACGTGACCATGCTCCAGTGTGATCATGTTCCGGTGCGAAAAAGCAGATGAAGAGGTTATCGTCCACATTTTTGCACTGCCAGTCTCCCACCTGTTGCTCGAGCAATAAATAGCTTTAGCCAGACACCTCAACAACCATTACTGGGAACTCTCGCGGCGTGCGGGCAAAAACTGATCGCAGCGCCCCTGGTGAGCTTGCAGTCTCTGGTAGCAGAAAAACTCCTTGGAATGCATTGGCTTTGCCTATTTCCACTCGAGGGTACCGAAAAAAAAAAAAAAAACAGCATTGCGACGTTTTGTTTGTTTGTTTGTTTTTGGCTTTGATTGTGAAAAGTACATCATCATTTTATGAATAAATAATGTCTTTATTCTTTTAAAAAGTTTTTTCTTGACTGTTAAGGGGCAGTTTTGTCTTTTTAGCCAAGAAAAAAAAAATTTGGATGTCCAGTCGGTGTGGCATGCAAAACATAAATCTGTCTGTGTGCTTTTTTTTTTACGACTTAAAGATCTAAATTTTTTTTAAACTAAGCTATGGCCCAACTGTGGTGTTTCAATCAATCACCTTACCTTTGCTGTTAACATTTCCCTTTTCACAAATGTCTCATTTATGCCTGTCTTGTCAAAAAGACAATCTGTCTCATCATGCTGACACCATCGCCAACTATAAAAATAAAAGGCAGCAGAAAACCCAGATCAAGTGTTGCCGTAAAAGCTGCCGGGCGATGTTCGAGGACACAAATGCTTAGAAAGCACCACTGTAGTCGAAGTAAACAAACACGACGACACGGGCGTTTCTGCCGTCTTGAGAGCGACACGGGCGTTTCTGCCGCCACGACATCGCCGCACGAGTAGGTGGATCTTCCCTTCTAGTACGTGCTGGGTTAACATAGTGACACACGACGAAAATTCATAGTCAAGGATAGCGCTTTTACGCGGAACGATGAGCTTCCACCACGCCGTCTACGACGACGATCACAACCGACGCCATGTTCGCGGATAGAAGAAGCCGGCCCGCAACCGGCATGCAACGCGCGCGAACACTTCTCCTCGACCTGCAATTGGTCTGTCGTTGCGGTTGTTTTCCAACGCAGCGGAGGGACGCACGCATATGAACGACACGTGCATGCGTCCCTTTGTCGCTATGGTAACTGAAGCCTCTCTCTTCGCTTCCCCCTGCTTCTTCGAGCAACCTCCTTGCCCCGCGAGTGCCGCTTGCGGCTAGCGCCGTCAGCACCGTTATCTTGTGTCGCACAGGGAAGCGTGCTCGCTGGTCCGGTTGTCGGCGCGGTCGGCGGGCTGTTCCAGAAACTGCACTATAACCGGTATTTCCCTTCGCGCGCCTGCACTTGTAAGTGGTAGGTAATTACATGGAGTTCTATGGGAGGCGAACCGGTGATTTAAAAAAACTGCGTTATACCCGGTCCTGCACTATAAGCGGTTACGTTGTAAGTGATCTATACTGTATTGCTCTTTCATTGCCTGCGACAAAAAGTCTAAGCCCGGAAATGTTACATCATTTGCTGTGGATGGAAAAGTGTTGACTGCAATTTCGAATTTCGGTGAACCACTCGTCTTTGCAGGCTCAATGTTTCGCGAATTTCGCAAAGCATACTTTTCAGAAGTGTTTTGCGGACACAAAATTTCTTTATATGGAACGACGTGCTATGCATCCATTACGATGAAGTGACGAAGTACTTGCGAGATGAATTGTTCGCAATATTTTTCAGTTCGCAAAATTTGCAAAAGCTAGGTCTTTGCGAAAATTTCAATCGTTTACAGTAACTGGCAATGATTTTAAGCGACATGGATGAAGCATACCTTATTCGGTTGCTCTGGAGGCATCCAATGCCCTCTGTTGGCTCAAGACGTAATCTCGCCCCAAAAACCTTGTTTCGTCCCAGGGAAGGGCAGCTGCTTGCGTGCCAGTGCCTCGCCCGGGCCAGGCCAGCGGCGGCATGGAGCACCTCTTCAGCACTGTGGAACATCAGCTGGACAAGCTCCAGTCGGGACTCCGGTCCCTGCCCAAGCCTGCCTGCGACTCTCCCCGTCAACAGCTGTGAGTTCTGGCGTCGCCGCATTCCGGTGGTGTTGGTGGCCCTCTCGGCGAGTGTGAAATGACCCGGCTCAAAAAGAAACTTAGCGAAATATCGCTTGGACGTTCTTCCAAGGACCTAAAGAAAAAGTTTGAATAAATAGGTAAACATTCGCTCAATCGAATCGATTGGATACAATGAAAGGTTGCCGGGCGGGAGGGGAGACGGCGGCGTGCGAATGGGCGGGGCAGGCCTTTTGCGGAAGTTTGTTTAACTAGAGTTTGATCAAGTGGTGTTTCGCCATACCACTGTACTCCGTTTCGCCTATTGTGCCTGAAGCATTTCTTCGACTAGTGCGTTTACAGTGTCCCCAAATGTGGTCTCTTGATTTCTGATCGGTGGCGTCCCAGAAGTGTCACACCATTGCCTGTCGCAGTTTGGGCGGTGGCAATGCAGCTGAGGGGGAGATGGACATGGCAGACACTTGTGGCCATTGACGGGCTACATGAATTACGTAGCCTGCGTAGCCACTTATATAGCCATTCGCAGGCTATTTAAATTATGAGCATAAAAGGGGCAGTGGGAGAGACTCTTTATCTTGGCTGAAATGTTGCTATAATTCAGTTTTTAACCATTTTTGTTTTTTTTTCTTGCTCAATATTTGAAACGGAACCTACTGGGACGTATGCCTTATTTCTAAAAATAAACTTGCTCATCCATTTTGTACTTTCTGTGACCATTTCTATGTACTCTATTACAAAAGATAATGAGTAATATGCTTTAATATCAAAAGACAAACTTACTGCTTAGCGATGACCTGCTAACATATATATTTGCGTCTGCTCCAAAATAACTATTTGCCTGTTAGAAGTTTAATGCCTCTTCCATCTCTGGTAGAGAAAAAAAAAAAACATAAAACCTACCCAAATATTTTTATTTTTTTTTTATTGTAGGAAATGTTTTTTTGCCAGCCACTGTTCATCATTCAATCGGCTCGATTTGAAATAAACTGGCTTTACGTAAACTTACTCCAGTAGCCAGAATAATGATATCCCTAACCTCGTATAAGGTGAAACGAAATAAATTTTATACTTTTATGGTACCCATAAAACTGATCCACAGTGCAGCATAGTGCAACATTAATTGCAGTTTTAGCACCGTTGAGGTCAGAATTCTTCACTTCTAAATCTTGTGAGCAAATTTATCAGAATGTTGCACCAAGAAAAGTTTTTCTGGATGTTGGGTAGAAATAAGCTTGCCGTGCTTTCTGTTCTGCGAAAGCAGTGGTAAAGGCCTCCTTTTTCTTCCTGTTCCAGAAATTGTGACGTTCCCCATATCGCAATGTTTTGGTCACGCTTTTGTTACAATATCATTTATGTCTCTTTTATTGCAGGCAATCTGAGGCGACTTTTGAGGTGAGTAGGGGCAGTTTTTTATCAGTCTTTCTAATAGGATGGCTCGAAGCACACCTACGGCAGTTTTCGCCTCTTAAGAATGGTGTCACGACACGGTCCTCATTTTTGGGGAACCTCTGGCTGCAGCGTTCATTCCCTCTGTGAGGCGTCCCTGGGGTTTGACAATGAATTGATTCGTGTGGGGCCTACATTTTGGGATGGCTGAGGTACAGCTGCAACGGAAAACGATCAGCACAAGTGACCGAGGACCAAAGCGGCAAAATCGGGACACACGACGCTATTGTTCCCGACCGCATAGATAGCGAGTGCCATGTACGTCCCATGTTTCAAAGCGGGGGTGGCCGGCAGAAAGCAGCCCATCCTAAAGCCCGCATTTCGAAAGCTATCTGATCTCTCACTTTTCGGCCGAGCGATGTGCCAACGTCGTTGCACACGTGAGCCCGTTATTATTTTTTTGTTTTTTAATGCAGGCGTTTTGGGCGATTAGGAGCCGACGAGCCAATCGAACGACAACGAAAGTGCAACGTCACTGCGTTCATCACCTTCGTGTGTGTGTGTTTTTGCCTTCTAATCCACCCAAACGCATGAATGTACCGTGGCATTGCAGTTTTGATCCTTCATTGTGCAGGGGTTCCACAGCTGCCAACAGAAGGTAGTCTTTCGAAAGGGGTCTGTTGTCGGTTTGGGGAAAACAGTGACAAAGGAAGTACTGCCGCTCACAACACCTGCGCAAAAAAAAAAAAAAATAATATAAATTGGTTTACGTGCGTAAACACATTGTCACGTTGCTCTCCTGAAAAGTGAGTTGTAAGATTTTTTCTAAATGCGGGCTTTAGGATGGGCTGCTTTCTGTTGGCCACCGCACTTTGCAAGGTAGAGTACCTGGCCCTATCGCTATCGGTGTGTTTGGGAACGATGGCGCCGCGAGTCGGGACTTTGCTGTTTTGGTCATTGGTGACTTCTGCTAATCATTTTCCGTTGCAGCTGTACTTCATTTTGGAGAATTTCATAACTATATAGAGCAATCCTGAACGTGATGCGAGGATGGGTTTCCAAGGATACGAGTTTAAGGGGAAAGAATAAAAGTATGTAGGTCTAAAACCCAATCTTAATAAACCCACATTGACGAGCACCAATGCGAGCGTATTCCAGGTAAAACTGAAGCTTGCTGTTTTGCATGTAAACGTTACCTGTGCCTCCTCATCTGCTGGCCATCTTTGGTAACTCGTTGCAATCGCTCATGGTACTGGCCAATGGACCTTTAAAGGGACCATGAAATGATTTTAAAATCGAATTTCATCCACCGCACGTCGTAAAAGGTGTGAAAAGAAACAAAAACACAAAACTAGGGAGCCAAAAAAAAATTATTTGCTATAGAACTTTTAAAAGAAAACTGGACTCTTTTGCGCCTTCCTTCCTTCGCCTGTTCACTACGATGCATCCGCGGAAATGGAGCACGTCAGCCAAATCCAGGTCGCCTATTGGGTAAGAGCCTACCTCACCAGCACCGCGATCGTAAACAATAAATAGCCGGCGAATGTTTCCTAAAAGTTTTGTTAAATAATATTCAGATCCACATTTTGTAGCATAATTAGAGATGTGTGGCGAAAATTGCCAAATTTGATAATGCTGAGAGCCCAGCGCCATCTATCGTGTGGTAAACGAAGCAACCACTGCGCGTGCGCAGTAGGGCAGGGCCGAGTTCAGAACAGTTATTTCCTTTGGTTTCCTTCCTCTCAGAACTCTGACTGACTGAACGTTTATTTTTCTACGTCTTCATCTCGCGCGTGCCGACTTCAAGCAGCAAGAAAAAAATGTACTTAAAACAGACCACGACGAACAAGAACGCTGGATCCACAAACACCCGAGAAGAGCGACAACAGCCGCGAATCCCGCTCCTACGAAGCTCTCAGGATATAGGCCTAGCAGGCACTCCGACTCGGCGCAGCGTTGCTTCGTCGCAAGACCGTCTGTCTGCCTACGACCGGCTGGCGTGCTGAATGGAATATGCCCGCGCTACCCTTGTGGACCCTTCCCGTATTATAGTTTGATCGCTGACCTCAATTTTAGGTTAAGAGGTGAGGTCAATCTCTTCCCCTTGTTTTCCGAGGCAGGGTTGACGAACACTCGTCGAAAAGGGACCCTCGTCAATTCTCTCTTCTTGTTTTGTGTGATATAGAGCTGAAATAAACGCTGTATGGATTACCTTCGTAACACGGTATGTACACTTTGTTATTGGTATGCCATTTTTATTCTGACAGACTGCACGTCACTGTCGAGCTGTAACAGTTCGTGGGAGGTATACGCGCAATACCGGTCCAACCTTTCTTTGCCGAGTGTCGCGTCAGTATCGAGTTGCCATCGTAAAAGATCGGTCCCGAAGCGCTTACCAACAGCGCGAATACAGCACTTCCATCAAACGCGCGCGTCCGCTCCGAGTGTGAACAGGTATTTACGTGACTCTTGCTGACACTCGTAGTTCAAACGTATCTTTTTTAACGTCGGCTCGCTCCTGCATCTCCGAGACCGCGAAAAACGCCGCGGCAATTTGTTTCCATCTACGTCGCTTTGCAAACGACTGACACTGGCCGCCTTTTACCAACAATGACAGTTGGGTTAACTTCTGGAGTCTTCACCGGAAGACTCGCTGCACTTCCCAACAGGCATAACGGCGTATGGGACTAGTCCCATGCTGTCGCTGTAGCGCAACGTATCTCATTGAATTTCGCTCAGCTGTGATGCGGCGATGAGAGGCGCCGATTCAGAAAATACGTTGGTGACATCGGCGCAGTAAAACCTACCGGCACACCCCAACTCGTCGCCGCTAATGCTCCCATCTCCAACTGCCGAGAGAACTTCCGGTTCCGGAAGCAGCGTACGTCACGGCTTGTTTTGCGGTCAAGAAAAAGTCGATATTTCATTAATTTTTTGTGTAGAAGTTAATAAACCGAGACGAAAACGGATGCCTGTTCGGCATTCAGTGAACATTGACGGTTTAATGTAAAAGTTATCTGGAAAAAGTAAAGTCATTTCATGGTCCCTTTAAGTGTGGAACATTGTGCAGAAGGGATACAAGTGGCATAGAGTAGCATGACAAATGGTGCATGCAACTTCGTCGTTGTCTGCGGAGACCGCCTGTGAGAAGTGAAGAAAAAAAACACCGCCGGGTGTCGTTACGTGACTTCCGGCCAACTCTCTCCTCCTCTACATTTCTCCCTCCTCCTCGACACACGTCACCTGCATGTCGCGGCCATAAGCTTCTGTGCTCAAGCTTTGGTTTGGAGCAATTGATTATTTTGGCTTTATTACAGATGTGCACGCCTCTGTAGCAAAATATTCATTCGGTAGTCTTCTGACACCATATTAAATCTCCTAAAAATATTTAAAGAGAAATTTTGGCAGTGTCAGTGTTTCTTTTAAAAAACACTATAATGGAAAACAAAATTTTAGAAAACATAAATCAAACACTTTTTTTTCAATTTTTCTACAAAAAAAGTATATATATTTGCGCAATATTTACTTTGTTACACGCAATTTATGTGGAGTTCACGGCCCACCCCAAACACTGATCAGTGGCCCCGCCCCTTACTACTGAATTGGCTTGGCTGCTTAGCCGAACAGGCTAGCAAGCTTAGTGTCTCCCTTTCACAACATCCGGTGTGTTTAGTCTGGTGCCTCGCACCACCAGCCCACGACACATCGCATGCACACTTGTGATCAGGATCTGCAGAAGACATTTGCCAATAATCCGTAAACTCTCCCAACGGTTTGAGTTGAACCCTCTTTACAATGTAGGCTGTGGCAGAGGTCAGAGCTACATACAGGGGAGTGTTTGACCAGCTGGCATGGCCTCGTTGACAGCTCGTTAACTACGTCACTGCCACGCCACGCGAATGCACTGGCCACGCCCGTTTCACCGTCTTCCCAATTGACGCTGGGGACCTATGCATGATGCTTGGCTCGGTTTCCTCCAACAAACAACGGTTTAGTGTGTTTTAAGTCATCCGCTAGCAGTATTTGGGCTTTGTCGTGTTTATTCAGGAGCCATATTAAAGGGCCCATGAAACGATTTTAACATCAATAGAATGTGCACCTGATTACCCTTTTTTTGTTAACTTCAGCACAAGGACCATAAAACACGACCACTTCTCTTGAAATGTCGCAAATGCGCTGCGAAACCGCAAAAACAAAAAGGAACTATTTCTTGACTTGACTTCACGTACGGCGGCCAAAGGAACTAACTTTGTGACATCACGGCGGGTGCGGTTATTGAGATCGCTTCTCAACAAGTATATTCTCAGCTTAATGGTAGCGTTAAGAAACGATTTCGTTCCGTCATAAACAAGTGAATCGAAAGTTTTATATTTCTGTTCAGTACACGAAGTTTTCGCAGCGCCATCTATCCGGAGTACGTCAAAGCATCCCCTCCCCGCTGCCTAGCAATGTTGGCTGGCTGCTACCAGACGAGCGGTGTGATCAACGCGATATAAAAACCACGTTTCGGCAGCTTGCTTGGTTCGGTTTCTTTCTCGTGCGCCTGGTTCGCCTGCCTGCAACTATACTTCGTTTCAGCTTATGTTGTACCGCAGCGAAGGCTAGAAGCGCGAACTCGTAGCGTTGGGAGCTGCCCTTGGTGCACGAGAGCTTGTGCCGCCGAGACGTGCCCTAAAGCAAGGAGCTCACACTTGTAGCTTTTCCTGCGGTACAGCACAAGGTGAAACAGAGCATAGGAAGTATTCACTGGCGGCCATAGCTGTGCGCGCGACTGCTGAGCGCGTGCTGATGGCTAGCTTCCAGGGTTCTTTTGCAACGTGCATTCCACACCGTCAAAATGGCCGGTCTTAGCAGCCTATTAATGGGGAGAGAGGGGAGAGTCTGTTCTCGCTGTAGCAACGTCCACAGCGCTAAGGAGAGGACAAGACCGGTAGCCGCGTACCCCGCAGCGCATCATGCGCACATGACCCGGGAAACATAGTATGAGTTGAGGGGCATCTCCAAACGCCATCTTATTTGGCCGGAAGTCCGAAAATCATTTCATGGGTCCTTTAAGTTAGTTCCAGGTTACCTCATCTATACTCCCTCCAAACGCCGTGTCACCAGCCCGTTCATACTCTACCCGGACGGTCTGTGCATCATGCAAATTACACTCGCGTAAATTTTGCAATTTTCAGTTCTAGTTAACTCCTCTTGTTATTATAACAATGCGCTACGATAACAGCTCCTAATTTGCAGCTGAGGGGCTTTCCGTACAGTGTTCTGATAAGCGAACGTATACGAGAATGCCATCGTTGCCCATGTTTTCGAAAAAAAATATTTGTTAGATTTGAAAGTGAGCTAAAGCCTTTCGTCCGAGAGTTCCCCAAAGTTTCGTTTCTTCCTAACTGCATTTCCTCTTGACTATGCAACAAGCTTGACTATGCGTCAAACGAAATGGCTGGATTGAAGCGATTGCTACTCCTGATGTGGGATGACCACGCCGTGCATGCTTACTGCGTGCCTCCACTGAACTATCTCGGCAAAGAAACAGCGATCATATTCTCCGAACATCTAGGAAGCCGGAAGGTTAGAAAGAAAGAAAGAAAATAAATGAAGGTTGTGCTAGTTTGCTGTAATTAAAAGCGGTGCCAGCCCTAGCGTTTGTGGTAATGTTGGAGTCATCTATTTCATAACGGAAGGCTACGAAATAAACAAAGCTACTCGGCATCAGGTGGCTCTTTGCAAATGGTAAGCTTGCTCGTTTTAATAGATTTAACTCGATTGATTAGCCATTTCTAACGGCGCTGAGTTCCCAGCATCTATAATTGTGTCATTACATTAAAATTAATGGAAGATGGAAAAAAAACTAGCTTTTTCATACAAGAAATAACATTTATTAAAAGACATCAAATAATAATTTCGCGGTTTGAAGAAGGCAGGGAAAAACGCTTCACAGGTGGAACGTCCCTGTTTCTTGCTCCAATTATCACTTTACGACATTGCATGCGAGCTTTGTGTTGCAACTAGTTCGCTAGTTTTCGTCAAATGAAAACTAAGTTTCAAGACGAAACAAGCATTCTTACCTCACAAGGACTGGAGCCTTCTGTGAGCGTCCACAATTGTTGCACTTGATGTTATTCAACTACATTTGGCGACATTTCTTTCTTTTTTTTTCCTTTTAGAATTATAAGAAAAAATTAATACTGTGACGACTGTGTTTGAAACTTTCAGTCACACAACAAACACCAATTTTCTCACCAGAAAACCTTGAAATAAAGGTCTGTACACGGGATACAATGCGTCCCTGCATGCACATGCAGGGACACATGGTCTAATTAGCTACAAGCGTAGGTCAGGAAGTGCCGGGATCGGTAATGGTTGACAGGACCGTGCCGTTGCCCCGGCGTTTGGTTTGCTAAGTGGTTGCTAGGACTGGTGTCGGTTCTGTGGGAGGAGCGAAAGTACGGCGAGAGGTCACGGAGGACAATAGATGTCCAGACTCTTCCCCTATATATTGCTCCGGCGGAGACACGGGGCACGCGCCACGCTGCAGAAGCAGTCGACACTCAAAAGAATTGGGGTTACAACTGATGAACAAATAATTTGTAAAATATTGTTTAATTATATTTTGGTTTAAATATGGGCAATTCCAACCCTTGCACGACTACAGCCCATACACGCAGTTATACGGTGCCTTTAATAGACCGATCTCGCCAGCCAGTTCAACTGCATTGCCGCAATGATACATCGAGGGAATTTTAGTCTTTCTGGATGTGCGACAAGCTCGCTGAAGCTCTGCGCGTGCAGAGCACAAGATTACTCGGGCCCCTGCCTTTTGTGAACTAAAGTTATAGCGGCTTCACGCGTGCACCAGACGCTCCACAATATTGGTCTATATTCTATTATTGCCTTTCAATGGTTTTTGAAATATTTGGCCAGAATGTAAACGCTCGGACAAACAATTTCTTTATCCTGTGCATACCGTGAGAGTACAAGCAGAAAAATGTTTTTCGTACACTAAGCTTCATTGATAAGCCCGCATATGCGGGCTTATCAATGCAGTTTCATTGCGCCGACCATACAAAGAGGTGCAACTTACTCCACGATGCAACTTATTTTGAGCAATTGTGCTGTTCATAGGGTTCTGAGATTCAGGCCGTCAATGTGGAAAACCCGCAGGAGACTCAGCTCGTCAATGTGGAGCAGCCGACGCTCATCGGGGCCGACTTCTCCCTGAGCAGCGTGGCTCCCGAGAGGTCGCCGACAAAGGAGGCGGGGCCTGTGCGAGACCCCCTGATGCACCAGTGGCTGCGGGACCAATGGCTGCGCGACCAGTACTCCCTGCTCTCCTTCGAGAGGCACGAGGAGAGCCTCGCCCAGGCCGACCTCTAATCGACGACGTCGACACCCTTTTGACGATTGGGGGGGGGGGGGGGGGGGGACATATTTTGGGTGCACGTGATTTTAGATTTTAATCAACTTTTTATTTCACGTTTGGCTCATCAAATCTGTGTTATAATTCGGTCACTAGAAGTGGGGGAAGGGAGTTTGCAGCATGTTAATTTTTTTTTTTTTTTTTTAGTGAGTGAAGTGTAGAAATAATCACTATGGATTGTTTGAGCCTTTCATTGATTTTTACAGCCTTAGCAGGGCCGTACGCAGAAAATTTCTTTGGGGGGGGTTTTTCTGGAACACGGTGGCCATCTTGAATGGCTGTTTTTGTATTAACTTTTTTAAAAACGAGCATGTAATCGACCTATAATTAACAATGGCGAGCAACGAAATGTTTCACATGCACCATCACAGCGGGAGTGAATTGTTTCAAAGCTTACTTCCAGCTTACGACGAAATTTATTTATTGGCCCAAACTCCACTCAGTAAGCATGACTTGGGTGAGAGGAAACTGGGGGCAAGAGAAAAGAAAAATATATACAGCCATACTTGACCCAGCTCCGTAACCGCAGCCCCGCGCATCCTCCGCAGGGTCCGGTGACACTCGGAACCCCTACGACTACAGACACAGCTCGGAACAAATTTTTGTCATTCTCTTTCCATCCTCTTTTCACCGCGCAAAACACCCGATACGGGCCATACCCCCGGCAGGCCCCCCAAAGCCCCTGAGGCGTCGCAGGCTCACGTTGTTCTGAGAAGTTGGACTAACGAACAGAGAACCGATACGAGCTTCCCTCAAACGTATGTGTTTATTGCTCGAGCGAACATTTCCTCTGTGTCACCTTTATAATGGACTGAAGGGGGCGCTACGAGCCATCCCAGCCAATCCAGCTCAGAGTGTCACCTTACCCTCTGTGGTGTGCTATGCGAAGCTCAAGGTCATGTGATTCTCTCGGCCCTCGATTGGCGAAGACAATCTCTAGCATTCGCTATGGTCCACTGTGTGGTGGAACGGAGCGTGGTATGAGGATGGGGAAGCGAGGCGCCCGGGGATCTTCTGCCGAGGGGGATGGCACCCAGGCACTTGGATGAGAGGGGGAAAACAGGAGGGCGATATCGGAGTGGCTCCGAAAAGACCGGTCGTGGCCGGGTGCGTTGTGGTTTTCGGGGTGCGGCGAAGACGCGCTGGAATTCACGTGCCTCTGGTTAGCAGTAATAATAAGGAGTGCTGTGTTGTATATACAGGCACACGTGCACCCCTAACAGCATCGCTGGAACTTCAGCGGGTCCCCCACCGTGTTTCCCGATCCAGTGACTTTAGCGAAATCGAGGCCACCCCGGGCCTCTTTCGAAATGCGCCCCATCGCTCCTCCCTTCCCCAGCCGACAATGAAAAGGGGGGGCTCGAATATATTTTGGGGGGGGGGGGGGGGGGGGGGGGGGGGGGGTTCGAACCTCGAAACCCTTCCCCTGGGTACGGCCCTGAGCCTTAGTCATGTTTTTAAACTAAAGGGGGAATTTCAGGGGTGTGTAAATTGTGGTTCAAATCAAGTAGTGCTGCATCGTTTATAGCCTTCGCAATGCAGCGTAATGCTACGACAACCGGTTCTGCTAACAGTGCTGAAGCTGGGGATGGCACTGCGCTATTTGATTCGAACCGCTATTCGCGCACCCTTAGGGAATTTTATATATTTTTGTATCCATATATAATGCTTTGACCACAGAGTGCTTCTCAGCACTCGTGGATAGACAACTGTATCTGCTCTGCATTCCGAAGATTCAACTTGGGCCTGTCACAGCACTGCCTCGGCATGAAGTTGTCAAAATTTGTACGCCTGTATGTTTACGACTGCGTGAAAAAAGTTCCCTGAACTTGGCAGCCAGAATTAGCTATGAGCGTATGTCAGAAAGTCTTGGCACGCAATTCTAGAGAACTTTTTTTATTTGTACAAGAACTGGTACTTTTTAGACTTCCGGTCGAGCTTTCTTTTATCCATGCAACCACACAACGAACTGAGTCAAGTTGCGAAGTGTCCCAACCTCTTTCGGGGGTCTCACCAGTGCTGCGAAGGGAACCAAACCTTGATGCATTTCTGTATCCTTTGGACCTGCCTTTACTGCATTTCTAACATTGTGTGCGAGATGTGTGCACGGGTCAGTCCCACTATTGCACCTCCAGGAAACTTTGATGCCAGGGCACAAGTTATTCGTGCTCCTGTACATTCCAAGCATGAAGGGAAAACTACACCAAAACATTGAGGTTCACCTTGCAGCTTACTATTGCTGTAAAGCCACTCATGTTATGGCACTGCTGCTCCTATGTTTTTGTATCTTTGTATCTTGCTAGCAACCTGGCCATGTAATGAATATAATTGGAATTATGTTTCAAGGGGACATGTGTGAGGAAAACACATTATTTTATTTATTGTAACTAAAGTAAATTTCCAGTTTATAGTGTTTGTTTTCTTTATAGATCTGGTGTCTTTTATATATATATATAGCTTGTTAATTTTATCTTATGAATGCAATGCACATGCAGGAAAAACCATGTTGTGGCCATGTGCGGCATGGCAACAGGCTTAAAAAGCATAGTAAAATAAACTGATTCGCTCCCTTTAAACCATGGAGCTCGATGAACAGTAAAAATGTGTGCGAGGCATTTTATTTTCAAATAACTACAAATTGAAAATTTTCAAGGGGTTAACAAAAGTTTCTTAAACTTTTTACAAATAAAAAAAAAAGATATTCAAACCTAGATCGTTGCACTCTACGTATGCCAAATTCTTGTATTATAAGAAAATATAAGAAAGATTCTTGTCTGCAAACTGAAGACTTTTCAGAAATGTGTTTAAATGTTATCATAGATGTGCAGCGATACTCTTTTGCAGTCAGGAAAAGAATATTTTGGTAATATTTTTCTGTGGAAAATTTAAGCTATAGAAGGCTACTAAAGAGAGGAAATGGCCAGCTTTACTTATTTTAAATGTGATGGCGGCTGTCACAATTTCAAGAACCGCGCAAAAGAAAATTGCTCAAATTTATGCCATTTTTGGCTTGCTTCACTGCTGCTTCACTAGTTATGATCGCCGTTTGGCGATCATAGCTGGCGCTTATTATTTCTTTTTTTTTTTTTTTTTTTATTAAATATGATGACACCAAGATAAAACCCCAAATCAATTTTTTTTTCCTTTTCTTTTTTCTTTTTTTTTTTTAAGTTGTGCTGTGCAGCTTGGGGATTCCGGGCCGGAAGTTCGGGCCCGGGGACTCGGCGAAAAACGCGGACGCACACGCACACAAAAGTAGAATGAGAGGAATGCTATGTGCTTTTCCAACACCCCCACCAAACAGCCCACACCAGCTCTAACAAAACATTGCACAACAAAAGTTCGCTGTGTTTTTGTTTTGGGCTCCACTGGGAAAAACGATCTTGGAGCATGTCCAGTCTGATTGTTTAGTCATTTCTTTGTGTGTGTGTATGTGGAATGTCTGATGCAGTTGTGGCTACCTGCATGCACAGTCAACTTCAGTGCTAGGTGGTTGGTTCAGTAGCAGGCGACTGCACGTTGCAGTCTTCATTTTGCCCGCCCAGTGCTAAGGGCTCCCGCTGTTTCACCTCCCCTGCATCGCGGCTGTGTTCATATTAGGGAAGCAATTCTAGGTTTGTCACTGTGCCTGCAGTTTGTCTATTAAAACAAATGCTCTAACGTTTGGAAGCATCGCAATTTCTATTTTGCTGTGATCTCAGGTACAAAATCCACTTAAAGAACCGCTAAAACCCTATCTTTAGTCAGTAACGGGCTAAGAGTTAGGGGAAACTCCTTTGACCCCATTCCATTTTAGCAGAGGGAGCGCTGAAAGGGAGGTTGCCTCTCCAGCGTTTGCTCTGCTCAAGTGTAAAGGGGTGGGAATGGTTACACTTGTCTGCAGTTACGTGAAATCAGTTACCACGCTGTACTCTTGGACAACTTTCTGTGGCTATGCAGTCAAAGCTGTGGGAGCATGTGCGCTTGCTCATCTTGAGTGCCACTGCCCATCAAGGCTCTCCACGTGCACTTGTCACTTCTGACAAGTGCACGTGGTATAAGGTGTTTTCACTGACATAATTTTGTACACCATTTTGTTGTGAGCTATTGTGTGTGCCAAACTTTAGCATTCCAAGGGTTTACGTATGATCCCTCAAATGCAGACTTGGACGTAGTTCAACTACTCTACTCAAACTACTGCAGTTTAACTACTTTTCCGAGTAACTTGGTAACTTTCAATTACAACTTTATTTGCGTAATTAGTAGTTTAACTACGTTTTTTCAGGTGACTTCTACTCAAATTACTAACTACTTTCAAAATCTAGTGATAATTTTGCTAATCATAAAAGTTTGAGCACAGAAATAAATGAGACTCCTTCAGATGAATTGGCATTCCCGAACAAGGGGCCTCCTCACAATCTGTTCCCACGCCCTTCTAATCGGCAGCTGTAGAAAGTGCATCACAGGCGTCCTTGGGCCAAGGTGGCGACGAGCAGCCGAAACATGACACCGACGCTCATGAACCAGACTTGTACACGTTACTGGAAAAAAGTAACTGATTACAATTACAATTACTACAGTCAAAAAAGTAACCGATTACCGTTACTGATTACTGCCTCCCAGAAGTAATTGAACAATTACTGCAAAGTAATTCATTACTTTTCAAGTTACTTTCACGTTACTTCTTATTGCGATGACAAAAATACACAAATACACAGTAAAATATTGCGTACACAATTTTGTTTGGTTATTGCTCCCTTTTTTGTTTTCAGACCCGGACCTTGTCGTGTAGCTGACGCGTCGACCTAAGGAACAAAGCCCACTAAAAAGTCAATAGCGAGTTCCCGCTTCCCGTCGACTTTATCAGCAATCTGCAACGAGATCCGGAACTCCCCAGCCAAGGCTGGTGGCGCGCTTGTAGAAGAGCGTGGCGTAAAAGAAAAAAGGATTTGCCGACTAATCCTAGTTTTATTTTTTTTTTAGATGTTAAAAAAATG